AAGTAAGAGCAGAATGTGAGAAGGTTGAATTAGCAGAGACATAAAAACTTAAAACATAAAACCACAACTGCCTCACTGCAGAATTAAATAAACACCTCAACTCTCCTGTATCCACCAAAACTGTTCATCAGGAACAGTTTTCCCTGAGGACAATGTGAAACATGTATGGTGAGTCCACCTTCACTGTCTTATCTCAAACCAGGAGTTTCAGTTCCACTGAACCCGTGTATGTGCAACTGAAAAATGTTAGATATTCCCAAAAGAAATTTAAATTTTGAATGCTACAGAATGACAATTTTTCACAACACTGAAATGTTCACCTGAGCACACGACTCCTACATCCTCCTTGTGTTGACAGTCATGTTTCCCCCAGCCTGGAGAAGAGCAGTTCCACAGGGACGTCTCATTCCCCTCACACTCCACCTCATCCAGCCATATGTGTCCAGAACCAGGACCAAACCAGGCTGGTACCTGCTGGTTACTGAGGCCACTCCACACTGCAGCTGTCTGCACACCACATGGGCATCTTTAATATCCCAGGAGTCATCACAACTGTCCCCCATGAGCCGCTGTGAAAAACCTCCAGCCTCCCTGCACAGTCTCCCCCAGAACCCACCAGCCTGATGGACCCGCGGCCTGATATTCAGAGAGAGAAAAACACATTATTGATCACCAACAACTGAAGAATCTGCCCAGATGTTGTTGTGCTCACCAAGGCAGGAGATTGACAGCTGTTGTGTGGAGCTGCAGTTGAGAGTTTGTGGAGAGCTGCAGTTCCCCAGATGAGCTTCACTCCCAGAGCACTGGAAGCCCGTCACACACTCATGACTGTGTTCAGGACTGGATGAAGAGGAGCCGGAGAAGTTCAGCACAGAGCCACAGCCCAGCTGTCTGCAGACCACAGAGGATTCAGTGAGACTCCAGGAGTCCAGCAGAACTCTCCTCCAGACCTGATGGATGGAAACTTCCAGCTCCCCCTCACACTGTCTCTCTCCAGACAACCGCACCAGACCGTCATGAACAGACAGAGAGGAATCTGAGGGAAAGATGTGGCATTTTATTAAGATATTGCAAGATTTATATAGGTAATTTATAACTTTTTCCAATAAAATTCCCTCACTAGAGCAAATGACTCCAACATCTCGTCCATGAGAACATTCAGCTCGACTCCATGAAGAGACGGAACATTCTGAGAGTTTTGTTTCATTCCCGTCACAATCAAACACATCAGCCCAGATTTCACCACTTCCCTCTCCAAACCAGTCTGATCCCACAACAGACACAGCAATCCCACAATTCAGCTGTCTACAGAGGACACTGGCAGCTCTCATATCCCAGCATGCATCACACACTGTGCCCCATTTATTGAGAAACCGAAGCTCCACTCTTCCAGAACAAGAGTCTGAACCATTCATCAGTTTAGTATCTGTGTAACCTGAATAAAGAACATAAAGGTTAAAACAAAGTATAAAGCAGCTGCCAGTGAACACAAACTGTTTTAAATACAGGCAAAGAGACAGAATATTTATAATTTACCAGAACAGACCAGACCCACATCATTGTCATTGGTACAGCTTTGTTTGTGTGATAATGAAAGTGAGCAAAATGAAATCTGAGACTCATTTCCTCTGCACTGAATCTCTTGTGTCCACATCTGAGCGTCTCCTTTTCCAAAAGCATCTTCTCCCAGCACCTGTACAGGAGCCCCACAGTCCAGCTCTCTACACACAACCTCTGCATCCTGCTGGTCAAAGGCAGCGTCACACACTGAAACCCACGACTGATCATCAAGTATCTCTAACCTCCCAGAGCACAGGTGAGATCCATTAATGAATCTAGAAGCTTTGTGACCTGTTCATATTACAGGAATGACAATTCACAGTAGAAAAAAAAAAACAAATACTTGATAGTTAAGTACAACAAACAAAATATTCTTTGTCACAACAAATTAATCGGCAATGTTTAATAATTCACCTAAACAGATGACACCGGCATCATGACTGTGACTGCAGGCATGTATGCTCCATCCTGCTGACCCACAGTTCTTCAGTGTTGACTCTGTTCCAGTGCATAACACAAGATTCATCCAGATTGGTCCTGATCCTTGACCAAAATGAGCATTACCCAGAGCATCTACAGGTTCTCCACAGTCCAGCTCTCTACACACCACTGCAGCACCAGTCATATCCCAGCCATCACCACACACTGTTCCCCACTGACCTCTATGAAGAACCTCCACTCTACCAGCACAGGGACTGTTGCCACCAACCAACCGCACATTCTTTTTATCTAAGCAACAGAAGAACACAAATAAAGACTGTGGGTGCATCTCCGTAAACACACTAGTTCGCATATCAATATATTGTGTACACAAATTCAGCACTGGTAAAACACTTTGGCTCACTACACATTTGGAAACTAAATATTCAATTTCCGGTGATATGACTAGGTGCTTGTATCATAAAACGTCACCACTGGTCATTTTTTTTTTTTTTTTTTCAATATTAACACAAAAATTTTCCGACATTTTTTTAAGCTGTTTAAAATTATGTTATTAAATATACTTTGATTGTTGTTATATATCTGCAACATTTTAGACAAATTTTAATTATAATCAAAGCTGCAAGCAGCATTTAGCGGTGTTCAAGCAGTTCAGGCCTTTAAGGCCTTTAAGCACAACAGCATCAAAATACATTAAGTTTTATAAGCAAGATTTACCATGATATACTACATTTCAGTGTGATATTACATGATCTACCATGTTCCAATATGAACCTAAATGACCCTGTTGTAGCAAACCAAATGCAAACACCTAATGCAAACACCTTCGTGCTTGAACACCTAATAACAATGAGACCTTTTTGACGATTATAGCGCCACCTATGATCCAATCCTCACGAAACTTTGCATGCTTCCTAACAATGTTAGGACACATACGCTCATAAATTTTTGTGAAGTTCTGACTTTTTCTTTTGGATTTATTGGCTTTTGGCTGTATTTTAACAGGGACCACATTCTAAATGACCCTGTTGTAGCCAACCAAATGCAAAATTTCAACTTTTTTTCGATAATTATTTATCTAGACAGTCCAGAGAATAGGCCTAGACTGGTTTGGTTCGATCGGGCAAAAAAACCAGGGACTAGTTTGCAAAAGTAGGTTTTGGACAAAATTCACTTTGGTCATTTTTCAATTTGGTCAAAGTTCAGTCATTTTGGCATCATGCTTCAACTTTGTCGCTGCGGTATGCAAAAACTATTACATCTATCGACATGAAATCCATAACTTTTTTTTGTTTGCACGGTCTGGAGATGATACGATTCCATTTTGGTGAAAATTGGACAAGCAATTGGACAAGTTTTAAAAAGAATTTATTGAATGAAAATCAAGATAGTGAACAGGAACAGTTCGTTTTTGGTTTTGTGACAGAGCTCTGACACTTCTGTTTTGTCTTGTACTGTGTAGCACACAGCTTGTGTTAACACTAGCTGTGTGCTTTCATGTTGTCATGTTTTGTGTGAACACCTGGTTTATGGGTGTAACTTATTAGCTGCATGTTCTAGTCATGGTTTGTTTGACCACATCGCTTGTCATGTGAGTTTACTTGTACTCTCCTGTCAATTGTCTAACCCCGCCCATTTTGTTACCTGATTATTGATTAATTTTTGTTTCGTATTCGTTTCTCTAATTACCCAGCTATGTGTAAACGTAGCAAGTCTAGTCAAGTTAAGTTGTTCAAATCGGTCTTGGTTTCCTCCTCAGTAAAGTTTTTGTTTGTATTTTGTTTTATTTTATTATCATTAAAAACCATTGTCCTGCACTTGAGTACTCGCTACTTTCATCACACCCAGTCCCTGACAGAACGAACAAGCCAAATGAGGATTCAGAAAACAATGGGCATTCTCTTCGGCAAGGTAAGAACAGTGCAAAGTTCCTTACCAGTTCCTCTATTTTGTGGAGGGGCTCAACATTTTAAACAACAGCCTTAATGAGCCTGTCCGTGCCTGGGAAATGGGAATGCTGAGGATACTGTCATTCTGGCAGTTTGTGGGGTATGTGTACAACCGTGGAGAGGAGGGTGGCCTTCCACCTCTTGGCCCACCTCCCATTTACCTCACAAACTGCCATGTCCCCAATCCTCCGATGACCCATTCAGGGAGAGGAAGGAGGAAGAACATGTCTGCCTCATCTGTCTCCTACTCAGTGGTGGCCGAAGAGGCTGAAGTGCCACCAGAGTTGACTGACGAAGAAACAGCGCACGCAAGCCGAGGGAGAGGAGGGCTCCTGTAACTTTCCTAAGTCTGGTGGTCCGGGAGGACCCGACTTCGGGGGTCTCAAGTCCGGTGGTCCGGGTGGACAAAACGTTCGTTGTCCCAGAGTTGTCCACTCTCCGTGTCATGCCCCCAGTGTTGCCCGAAGAGGCTGCAGCACCACCGTGCTCCCGTAAACTGAGGATGAGAAAGACTTCCTCCGTCCCACAAGGGTTGGACGCCATGCCCAAGCTCCTTGCCCTGCTGGCACCACCCAAGCTCCATGCCCAAGCTCCTTGCCCTGCTGGCACCACCCAAGCTCCATGGCCAAGCTCCTTGCCCTCCTGGCGCCACCCAAGCTCCTTGCCCATGCTCCTTGCCCTATAGCTCCTTGCGACCGCCCTTCCGGAGTTTGTTTGGTTGTGGCCGCCCATCCAGAGTCTCTTCATGTCATGTCTGCCGAGCCAGAGACTGTTCACGTCATGCCTGCCGAGCCAGAGATTGTTCACGCCAGGTCAGCCGTGTCTTTCGGACAAGATGGCCGCCTCTGTCACTGAAGCTTCGGCTCCGGCATGGACTCATGCTCTGCCCTGAACGCCTGTCAAGCCTGCTCCGCCCTGGCTGCCTGTTCAGCCGGCACCACCGTGGCCCTCAGTCAGAATTCCAGATTTGCAGGAGTTTCCCTGGTCCAGAGCCAGGATTCCAGATCCACCGGATCCCGCCTGGTCTGTCCCTCTGGCACCACCCTGGTCTTCTACCAGGACTCCAGACCCGCCTAAGTCTCCCTGGCTCAACCCTCCCATCCCTCCCTGGTCATTACTTTGTCTTGTTTTTTGGTGTTCCTTGTTAGAGGAGGGGTAGTTTCAAGTTCTGTCACTTTTGTCTAATCTATTTCTTGGTTTTGTGACAGAGCCCTGACACTTCTGTCTTGTACTGTAGCACACAGCTTGTGTTAACACAAGTTGTGTGCTTTCATGTTGTCATGTTTTGTGTGAACATGTGGCTTATGAGTGTTCCTTTTAGCTGAGTGTTCTAGTCATGTTTGGTGTAAGCACATGGCTTGTCATGTGTTTCCTTGTGCCATGTGCTCTTCTGTCAATTGTCTAGCCCCTCCCATCTTGTTACCTGATTATTGATTAATTTGCCTCACCTGTCCTTCCTCGTTACCCTCTTTTGTTTGCTTGCCTATTTATTCTCCTTGTGTTTTCAGTCCTGTGCCAGGTCGTTGTATGTACACTGTGTTTTCCTGCTGTTTGTTTCTTTCAAGTCTAGTCAAGTTGTTCAAGTCTGTCTTGTTTCCCCCCTCTGGGTAGTTTTTGTTTGCATTTTGCTTTATTTTATTATCATTAAAAACCAATTGTCCTGCATTTTAGTCCTCGCTACTTTCATCACACCCAATCCCTGATATGGTATCAAAAAAACATACAGAGTTTCGTAATGGGACACCTATCCATAAAGTGGCATTTAATATCATGATATTATATTGTAATTAATGTCAATTTCTTTGTTTTGTTCTATTATAGCGCCATCAAGAGGTGTTTTGGCATTATAGACATTTATATCTATGAGAAGATAAATGACCAATGGACAATTTTTTTGTATTATTTTTGCCATTTACTATCAATATTTTGACATTTGGGCATTAACATATAGCCAGCGACCTATGTTTTTGATTTTCCTATAGTGGTTTTGTCTTGATTGGACTAATGGTTTCGAAGATATTAGCAAAAGTTTAAGCGCTAACTCACAACTTGCACTAACCGTAAGGCAAAACCTAGCATGTTTGGTATCATTGAACTTGTTAAGGATTTAATTCATAACTTTTTATCTGCATGGACTGAAGAGGATCTGGTTAAATTTTGAAAATCGGAGAAACCGTCTAGGAGTAGTTCGAAAAAGAAGGTTTTTCAGAATCCAAAAATGGCGGGAATTTTCATGACGTAAAATGACATGCAATCGAAATGGCTTGAGCCAAGAAATCAGAGTAAAAAATGTTGTCTCTAGCCCATACAGTTCAAAAGTTATTAGCATAAACATGAATGCTACTTTGGACAGTTGGTAGCGCTAGAGGGATTGAGTTAGAAACTTAGGGTTAGGACAGTTCAGACAGTGTGTCTCCCTTTCAGTGCTTGGTCCCTAAATAAATAACGGTTTGTCTTTTCAAACCTTCCATTAAATGTCATGATGATATTGCGTTGACATTGTGTTGGTTTGTGTGATTGTTATTCACTAAACAGAATTTCCTTTAGGGGATATAGTGAGCATCTGGCTTTTGGAGTGCATTGTGGGATTTTTAGGGAGCGAACATTCCAGTACATTTGAATGATTTTGTGATTGAGACAGACCTTAAAAAGGCTGACTCCCAGCTCAGTGTTCTGTCCGAAAAATATGAAGCTGACTGAGATGCACCCTATATGTAAAAGGTATGATCTTATAATATAATTTAACTCACCAGCACAGAACAGCCCCTGGTAATTATCATGTGAACAGCTGTTTTTGTGTAAGGATGTTGGACAGAAGTGAATCTGAGACTCATTTCCTCTGCACTGAATCTCTTGTGTCCACATCTGAGTGTCTCCTTTTCCAAAAGCATCTTCTCCCAGCACCTGTACAGGAGCCCCACAGTCCAGCTCTCTACACACAACCTCTGCATCCTGCTGGTCAAAGGCAGCGTCACACACTGACACCCACGACTGATCATCAAGTATCTCTAACCTCCCAGAGCAACTGGAGTTTCCAATAAGCCTGACACCTGAAGTAGCAAGAGATAAGAAACATTTAAATTTTGTTTATCTAAAGGTGTGTACTTGTCATTATTGTTCTACCACAAAGCACCATTTATTAATGTTAAAGGAGTAAAAGTGTCAAATTACTCAATCTCTCAATGTCAATTCATATCTTCTGACTTTCTTTTTAACGGAACATAAAACAGAAATTGTACAGAATATCCTGGTACTCTTTTCAATATAATGAAAGTAAAAAATAAATAAATAAATAAATAATGTATGGATTCAAGATGAGTGGCGTGCTCAATTCCTTTTAAAAAAGTTTAACCTGGGTGCTCTTCGGTCCAAGGTAGGACATCAAGGACATAGAAAAAAGAAATCTCTGATGACCGAGGCACTCCTTCATTAAAACAAACAAATTACATGTCCTAAACGGACAAATTTAAAAAGCCCAAGCATAGCGGCATGGAGCCTTCTTCGGGGCATGGTGAAGCAGGTAGAAAACTGATCATAATATCTAAGACACACAGGTAGGAGCAAACACACACAGGACAGGTGCTGGCTAGTGTTAAAGATCCACAGGCAATTGCCAAGACACGCCTCCCACGCAGTTTCCAGCACTAAAATACAAATCACAATAATAAATAGAAACAAATTACATGCATATATACTCGTTTGCCAGGTCACGTCTCTCACATGGTTCTCAAGAACAAATCTGTTGATCACAATGTCAAATGAAAAACATACAAGCAACAACACAAAAAACATACATAGCCTATACACTTATGTATACTGTACATTGAGAGAACACACCTCCCACATAATTTATAACATCAAAGCTTTTGGTCACATTGAGTCAAAACACAAGCAACAGGTAGCACGCCTATATTCATGCATACCATACACATGCATATACTTTCATGCATATACAACACACACATGAGAAACAAGCAGTCACAAGAAAGAAACAGTATTACAAAGTCACAAAAAAGGTCTAAAATCGATCTCCTCATTTAGACCTGGATAGTCCATTGCTTTAAGATTCCATATCCAAAAGGTTTCACGTTGCAATAACTGTTTTAAAATGTCACCTCCGCGTATTTTTTTTAAAATAATTTCCATGCCCTGAATTTTTAAGGATGATGGGTCACTATGATGTACTGCTTTATAGTGTTTGGCCATAGGGTAATCCTCGTTGTTGACTCGTATTGCGTATTTGTGTTCATAAAAACGCTCTTTTAGTTTTCTTTTGCCCACATAGAAACAGCCACAAGGGGATTGTAGGCGGTAGACCACATATTCAGAGTTACAATTAATGAAACAATTTGTTTTGAATTCTTTCTGCGTTCTCAAATCACAAAAAATCTTACTCTGAATAACACCCTCACAATGACCGCAAGACCCACACCTATAGGTTCCCCACGCTCCGACCTACTAAAAAAGAAGAGGAGGAGGAAAGACATGGCTAAAAACAACTCCAGACCTGTCTTTGTTACCCAATATAGTAGTAGTGCTTTTGAAATGAAACAAATAATTAAGTCCAGTTGGGGGTTAATTCAAAGTGATCCTATTCTGAAAAACGCTTTTTCCAGAGCGCCTATGACTGTGTTCAAGAAGCCACCATCCATAAGGGACAAACTTGTGAGAAGCTACCTTCCAGGTCCTAAACAAAAAACATGGTTACAAAAAGGTTTGTGGGGAACCTATAGGTGTGGGTCTTGCACTCATTGTGAGGGTGTTATTCAGAGTAAGATTTTTTGTGATTTGAGAATGCAGAAAGAATTCAAAACGAATGGTTTCATTAATTGTAACTCTGATTGGTCTACCGCCTACAATGCCCTTGTGGCTGTTTCTATGTGGACAGAACTAAAAGAAAACTAAAAGAGCGTTTTTATGAACACAAATACGCAATACGAGTCAACAACGAGGATTACCCTATGGCCAAACACTATAAAGCAGTACATCATAGTGACCCATCGTCCTTAAAAATTCAGGGCATTGAAATTATTAAAAAATCAACACACGGAGGTGACATTTTAAAACAGTTATTGCAGCGTGAAACCTTTTGGATATGGAATCTTAAAGCAATGGACTATCCAGGTCTAAATGATGAGATAGATTATATAGACCTTTTTTGTGACTTTGTAATACTGTTTCTTTCTTGTGACTGCTTGTTGCTCATGTGTGTTGTATATGCATGAAAGCATGTGTATGCATGAATATGCGTGCTACCTGTTGCTTGTGTTTTGACTTAATGTGACCAAAAGCTTTAATGTTATAAATTATGTGGGAGGTGTGTTCTCTCAATGTATATACATGAGTGTATAGGCTACGTGTATGTGTTTGCTCCTACCATATTATGATCAGTTTTCTACCTGCTTCACCATGTTCTGAAGAAGGCTCCATGCCACTACGCGTGGGCTTTTTAAATTAGTCCGTTTAGGACATTTTAGTTTAGTTAGACATTTTAGACAATTTGTTTAATAAAGACATTTTAATGAAGGAGTGCCTCGGTCATCAGAGATTTCTTTCTCTATGTCCCAAATAAATAAATAAATAAATAAATAAAACATTTTGTGCATTACAGAACAAAGTCACAGAGGTTTGAAAAGACACAAAATAAATGATGACTGAATTTTCATTTTTGGTTGAAGTTTCTCTTTAAGGCAGTTAGGTTATCAGTGGTGTAAAAACAGTGCAGGGTTTGGAGCAGTTTACCTGAGCAGATTACTCCTGCATCTTTAGTATGATCACAGTCATAAATACCCCAATTTATTGTTCCACAGTTTTTCAATGTAGATTCTGATCCCGAACATAATTTGCGATTTGTCCAGATTGATCCTGATCCTGGTCCAAAATGAGCATCACCCAGAGCATCTACAGGTTCTCCACAGTCCAGCTCTCTACACACCACTGCAGCATCAGTCATATCCCAGAAATCATCACACACTGTTCCCCACTGACCTCTATGAAGAACCTCCACTCTACCAGCACAGCGACTGTGGCCACCAACCAGCCTTACTCTCAAATTGTCTATAAAATAAATAAATAGGCAATAAATGCATATGGAGAAATGGGAAAAAAGCTCGGAAAAAAAGCATGATAAATGTAATTAATATTTAGTGTAGATTTTGGGAACAATAAATTTGATTTCAGTTTATTTAAAAAAGGCTCAAACCTGCACACACCAGTCCAACATCATTATCATGTGAACAGTTGTTTTCATGTGATTTTGAACAGAAGTGAATCTGAGATTCATTTCCTCTGCACTGAATCTCTTGTGTCCACATCTGAGCGTCTCCTTTTCCAAAAGCATCTTCTCCCAGCACCTGTATAGGAGCCCCACAGTCCAGCTCTCTACACACAACCTCTGCATCCTGCTGGTCAAAGGCAGCGTCACACACTGACACCCACGACTGATCATCAAGTATCTCTAACCTCCCAGAGCAGCGAGAACCTCCAACCAGTCGGACTCCTGAAAGATTAACGCAGGAAAGAACACAATTTAAAGTTAGAGAACTTCTATAATGAGTCAGTCATATAATCAATCTTTCAATCATATAACGAGAAATCATATTTTCCTTTATCTTCTGGAAAACAGAAAAATTATGCAAAATTATGTCTCCCAGTCCAAAAGGACTTGAAGTTAACCAAGAAAAAACAGCTCATATACAAAACAGTGAATAGTTTTTGTTACTGTACTATAAAAATCCAAATGCATTACATGATTGCCCAGATTTTCATGCCAAAAATGTCTATGAATGAATCCTACCAGAGAATTACTGTAACAAGGTTAAGATGTTATGGGAAGAAGAAGGCAGGAACAGGTGAACATTTAACACTTTTAATAAAAATAAAAAAATAAAAAATGAAAGTAAAATCCAGCAGTCCCTCACGGACGACTGCTGGCACAAAATAAAACACAAACAAAACAAAACACAGGTTCAGGCCTGTTCCAAATGTCATCGCTCCTCCTTTTATGCTTCCGCTCCTCCGTGAAAGATACGAGACTGGTGCGGGTGTCGCTCATCAGTAATCACGCCACCGAGCTCGAGCCGCCCTCTCACTGCCCTTGGCCTCGTCCTGCTCGCCACATACCCCCATCGGCCCTCGCAGGCCAGGGGGTACCCACAAGACCATCTGGGGTATGGACAGATGAGGCGAGAGAAACGGAGACGGAAGCATGAGGAGCGACAGATCCGAGAGAGGGGAGAGAAAAAAAATCTTGATCCTGTTCTTCCAACACACTGCCATCTGGTCCCCCACCAGCTGAGCGATCTTCTCCGCGGTGCCTGATGCTGGATCGCCCTCACTGGACGGCTCGACACTCCTCCACGGCTTCTCCGTGTTCGGGCAGATGTCCCCTGTTCCCTGCTCCTACTCTTCATGGTGGATGGCAGCAGGCTCCGGCCTACGGCGAACGGCACCGATTCCTCTGCTCCCTCACGGATGGAAGCCACCCCTCCAGCACCCAGGCGGCCCACGCAGATTCGCCACAGCGGTGAGGACTCTTTGATTGCGCGTTCCTCCTTCTTCCCAGGTTTCGGCACCAATTCACCTTTGGCTAAGCCCGCCCCCCTTAGTTACTATTGCTACATCCGTCAAACTTCATATGCGCTCTGCAAGGCTTATGCTCTCTAACAGCTCTTCCTGCTGAAATGTTATCAAACTTTTATAAAGCAGCAAATAAAGTGTCCGATAGAAGTAGGCAAAAGGGGCTGGAATATGCGTTCGAAGGCTATATTCAAGACATGCAGGTGAAACGCAAGAACAGCAAGGCATCCAAAATAGAGGCAAAAGCTGCAAGCATAACGTTACCAGTCACAGTCAAAAAATGAACCACCGCAGATCCTAATCGAGACGGAGGCTGGGACTAACAATATCAGAGAGCAACACTGTTCATGCAAAGCTGGCTAGGTCTCTATGCACTTCTATAATCGTTATTACAGAGCAAACGGACTACACGAGTATAACGTTGTATTTATTAGCAGCGTGTGCAAGCGTATCAACAACCGGTATGAGAACCGAAATCATAACCTAAAACATTATAAAACGGTCTAACTAGTATAACTTCACACTCACAGTAAGGTTAGAAGTAAAAAAGATGTGCTTGTTGACAGGGACGTGCACAGGGGGGTTGCTCAGGTTGCCCGGGCAACTGCCCATATGCCCTTCTCGACTCAGGTTGCCCTTCCGAGGAAAAAAAAAATCGTACAATGGATGTAAAATTTCACGTAGGCCTAGACAAAAAAATAATATAAAAATCGCAAAGCCTCATTTACTTCCATTCGGGCACTGAAAGGGAAAGTCAAACTGTTTACGTGGCTGCAGTGCCTCACGCGACCATAGACTGCACGCGACCGTGCGGTAAGGCACCGCAAATTACTCAGGCCGCGCCTCCATCTCATGTCGCGCGCTAATTAATGTGTACGAAGTCCATGACAAAATGAAGCAAAACTATCCTTCTCGTCACGAAAAGAGGAAGAAGAAAAACATGAGAGTGAATTGCGGGAACAGCAGTCAGGTAAACTTGTGTTCTCTCCTCTCTAGTTTGATGTCAGCAAAGTTTGATGGTTTTTGGTCTTGCTAACCTATCTGGGCAGGCAGTGCATCTCTTGCATCACTTTTTGCCTGACAAAAGTGAGAGTAAAATACCATTATTTATTACGTTTTGTTTTTTATAAACGACAAAGTGCAACAACAGTGTTTGTTTACTACAGCTCGGAAAACATAACCGCGTCGCGTGTGTTGCGTTCATATGCGCGTGCACGAAATGAAACTCGCATTTTTCAAGCAGAAATGTGGAGACCAGAAATACTGTACAATACGTGAATGATGGCACTCCCAATCAAAGTACACATTATAAAGACACTGATTATCTAGTCTCAGTGTAGTTAAAAACTCTAAACAACTGCACTAATTATGCAAGATATAAACCAATGTATTGGCAATTTGACATTGATTGACTATTGATTTATAGGCTATATTGAATTTAAAATGATGATTAGCTGGACATTCTGGTCAATATGAATGCAAATCCCTCAGTATATAACAATAAATGAAGATTTGCTTCAACATGCATAAAAAAAATAAATAAATAAAAATCATAGGCTACTGATTCCGAAAAATACCCTGGCTGTAGAGAGAACCAAAGTTAATCCCAAAAGCCAAAGTTCAGGGTTGTACTTTATTATTTTCTTCTTATTTATGTTTACGTTAATATTCACTTGTTATCTTAACATTCTATAAAAACGCTTTATTCAGTAAATATTGTTTGTTTGAACCTCATTCTGTTCTGTATTGTTGTACTTGTTCTTTGACTGTTTTGTTTAAAGGAGGGAGGATTGTATTGGGCGGTATTGAGTGGCAATGGCAAATGGTTTACATGGCTCACGGCATCACAGATTAGGTAGAGGGCCCCATAGCAGAATTTTGCTTAGGGCCCCATGCAGGGGGAGGTCAGGATTGGCAAAAAAAGATTGTATTTTTTCCCGAAATCTAAGCGTTTTTTCTTTTTTTGAGTTTTTCCATTCAATCCAGATTATTTCTTTTCAAATAAATAAATAAATAATAATAATTTAAAAAAATAATAAACAACAATATGAGGAACTCTTTTGCTCATTTGTCTCATCTCTGACATTTTGCAATCTTTATAAATAATAATAAGACCATAAGATGAGGCATTGCGTTTGGACATAAACATGGCCAGATAAGGCAATTTGGAAGGTGACAAATTCAACTGAATATATTCCTTCATATAGCCCGTGAGGGGGAGGGGGGGGGGTGCCCTTTTTTCAGGTCAGAGCAACTGCCCCTCAAAATTCCTGTGCACGTCCCTGCTTGTTGATCTTTGCGGGGTTTAGCTGACTGAGGACGTCCATACAGTTTAATCCAAATATGACACTTGTCAGGATTTTACTTCGGTTTCGGGAAGGGAAAAAATGGACCCAATCCAAGCCACCACCGCCCCACGACCTCTCTGGGAAACGCGCATCTGTGTTACAAATGCCTGATGGACAACGTTTAACCATATTTTGGATAAAACTACGAAGGTAGTTAGCCTGCCGAGACCAAAAACATGAGACGCCGTGTTGAAAGTCAATGGAGCGCAGTGGAAAAAGTGTCGCACCTCTGTGGGGGCTCGTTCTTGGCTGCGCTGTGATTGGTCAATCTACATTCTAGGGCGTGGCTTAGCCAAAGGTGAATTACATTAGAATGTAGAGTTAGAAATAAGCTCCTAAATGTATTTTTAACAAGATCTCTGATTGTTACAGTCTGACCTTAACAGTTTTGTGTCTTCAAAAAGAAGCTGGAAAATGGTCACAAAAAATGAAATTATGACTGCTTTTGTTACAGTTTACTGAATTTGGTACAAATATACAAGACAGGATTTTTATCTTTAGCTTACCTGAACAAATGACTTGAGCGCTCTTATTAAGACACACATCAGGATCAGTTGGTTGTATGAATCCACATTTCTTAAGTGTAGACTCTGATCCAGTACACATCGCATTTTTCATCCAAAACGGTTTTGATCCCAGTCCAAAATGAACATCATACAGAGCATCTACAGGTTCTCCACAGTCCAGCTCTCTACACACCACTGCAGCATCAGCCAAATCCCAGCCAGCACCACACACTGTTCCCCACTGACCTCTATGAAGAACCTCCACTCTACCAGCACAGCGACTGCTACCGTTTACCAGTCTCACATTTCTTATGTCTATGAATGTAAGAGAAAATACTATTGTAAATTTAAATTTTTACAATAAAATGAAATTTGCTTTGTTGTACTTTGAACTGTTACCTGTACACAGCAAACTAATGTTGGGCATGTGAACAGTTGTTTTCATCTAACAGTGATATTATCACCATCATTATTATATTATATTAATTATATATTATCATTTATTTTAACTCACCAGCACAGAACAGCCCCTGGTAATTATCATGTGAACAGCTGTTTTTGTGTAAGGATGTTGGACAGAAGTGAATCTGAGACTCATTTCCTCTGCACTGAATCTCTTGTGTCCACATCTGAGCGTCTCCTTTGCCAAAAGCATCTTCTCCCAGCACCTGTACAGGAGCCCCACAGTCCAGCTCTCTACACACAACCTCTGCATCCTGCTGGTCAAAGGCAGCGTCACACACTGACACCCACGACTGATCATCAAGTATCTCTAACCTCCCAGAGCAGCGAGAACCTCCAACCAGCCGGACTTCTGAATAAGACAACATAGATCAACAAAAGCATGGCTTATTTATAGGGCTTCAAGATAATGATTTGTACCTTATCTTGCCATTTTATTTTTAGTCTTATAATAAATAAATAATGTAAAAACAAACAAAAACAACAACAAATATAAATATAAAATGTATTTTAAACATTTTAAAACTTCTTTAAAAATTAGAAGCCAATCTTTAAGCATAAAAAAAAAATCTTACAAAGATATGAATTTGAATATGTAAAATACTTTACCTGAGCAGATGACTCCAGTCTCCAATCTGTGAACTCGGCGTGATGTCACGCCAAATGAGAGGCGCCCGCACCCTCATGGCATCACAGCCCGCCAGAATGGGCATGGCTTGGTGTATATAAGCAGGGTTCAGAGGCTGCTTACCTGATTTTCATCACTTCAGCGAAGCTCTCCGCATCGCTGGACTACAAGAAGCCACGACGCGTCTGAGGGGCATCTAGCGAACTTAGGACAGCGCTCGAAGAAGCCGGCCGTCTTCGCCACCTTCAGCCATCCGTGCAAGCTACGCCATCCGGCGACCTATCCTTTTTCATAGATTACGTTTGCCAGTGCAAAATTCTAAAAGAGCAGCGAGTGTCTTTTTAAAGATGCCTCGCACATCCTGTGGCTGGTGCAGAGCCCCACTCAGCGCAGAACACCGCCATTTGATCTGCACTCTCTTCCTGGGCCAGGAACACGCAGTCCTCGCCAATGGCTGATGCGAGCTCTGCAAAGAACTCTCATTGTCGACCCTGCGGGCTCGACTTTAGGTTTTCAACTCTGAAGCCACCGTGCTGCCTTTCGTCGCACTGCGCAGGAAAAAACGCCTTTTTTCACAAAGGCCGCCGGAGTCTGTCACCACCGCGAATGCCTCGCCGGAGCCTCTTCCTCGAGCTTGCGCCCAACAGGCTCGACGGCTGATTCCTTCAAAGCTGCCGACGCCCAGCGCCTTCCTGCCAGAACTCCACGCTGAGCTCTCTAAATCATGGAGTGCACCTTTTTCGGCCAGGATCCATTTCCATGTCTCTGCGTCGCTCTCCACTGTGGACGGCGCCGCCGAGAAGGGCTATACAGCTATCCCCACTGTCGAAAACACGGTCGCAGCACACCTTTGCCTGCCCTCCGTGAGATGGCGCTCAAAGCCCCGTCTAAAGCCTGTAGAACAACATCCGCTTTTATTGGCCGTGCCTACGTCGCCGCCGGTCAAGCTGTATCCACATTTCATTCAATGGCCATCCTACAGATCCTCCAGGCTGACCTCCTTCGTGAGTGGGATGAAAAAGGCAGGAAACCAGAAGCTTTCGATCGCGGCTCAAACTACTGTGAATACAGAAGTAGCACATCTACTTCGCACAGAAGTAGTGAACCTGCTGTGCAAAAGGGCTATAGAGCTAGTGCCACCTTCTATGAGCGAGTCGGAGTTTTACAGCCATTATTTTCTTTTACCAAAGAAAGACGGTGCCCTCAGACCGTCAAACCTGTATTTCAGCTCTGCAGTCCTGGAAAGTGGCCGAGTGGTATCAGCGGGGAGTGATGATGGGGGCGATCTCACACCGGAAAGTCATCTCGACAGACGTGTCCTACAGGGGTTGGGGCACGGCCTGCGAGGGTGCACCGGCTTTTGGTCTATAGTGAGACCAGGAGAAGCTCCTTCACATAAACTGTCTGGAAATGATAGCAGTTGAGAACGCGCTCACACGCTTCTCCCAGTCATTCGGGACCACCACGTCCTAGTCCGTTCGGACAACATGTCTATGATCAGAGTCAGATCCAGGAAGCTCTGCGATCTGGCAGAACGCATACTAATTTTGTCTCAGCATCATCTGCGCTCGCTGAGAGCGACACACGTGCCAGGCCACCTGAACGATGGCCCAGACAAACTGTCCAGGTACAACTTTCAACCGGGGGAATGGTCCCTGCACCCCCAAACAGTTCAGAAACTATGGCGCCTATTCGGCAGAGCGGAGGTCGACCTTTTTGCGTCAGAAGACAATGCTCACTGCCAAGATTTCTTCTCGAAGAGCGAGGACGTGTTGGCCCAGGACTGAGCCCGCTTTACGCCTTCCCGCCTGTTACCACAGATAATAAAGAGAATCAGGGAAACGTGCCACTCGGTGCTCCTCATAGCCCCGTTTGGGAGAATCAGACTTGGTTCCCGGTGAGAACAGATCTCCTCTCTCAGGCTTGCTGCTCAATCTGGCATCCCCACCCAGAGCGCTGATCGCTACAAGTTCAAGTTCAAGTTCATTTTATTTATATAGCATGTTTTATAGCAGCTACTGACTGACAAAAGTGCTTTACAAAACTACAGAATTAAAAGACAATAATACCATGCATAACAGCACATCATAGAAAAGTACAGCAAAGATACGAACACCTTTGAACGAGAGTAGTCAAAGCAGTATCAGAGTCATCAACAATAAAATAAAAAACAGAAAAGTCAGTAACAGACTTAGATAGAAAAAACAGCATTATACTCAAAGGAGAGAAAAAAACTACATCTACAGCTACATTCGTGGCTGATCAAAGATCTCTTGCTCTGCCAGAAGGAGTAATAAACACGATTGTGCATGCCAGAGCTCTTTCTACTAGAAAGCTCTATGCGTCCAAATGGTCTGTGTTTTCTAAATGGTGCACTGACAAAAATCTGGACCCACAGAAATGTGGGGTTTCGTGGCTGCTCGTGTTCTTACAAGAGCTATTGGATAAGGGCAGGTCCCAATCCCAAAGTATATGTGGCGGCCGTCGCAGGGTTCACAAAACCATTGCATGGCCAGTCACTAGGAAAAAAAAAACGAGCTATTCATCCGTTTCCTTAGAGGAGCTGTCGGTTCCTATATGGGATCTTTCTGTGCTCCTCGAGGCCCTGAAAGCTTTCCCCTTTGAACCACTACAATCCGTGGATTTAAAGTAGCTTTCACTTAAAAACATTTTTCTGACAGCTTTGTCATCAGTCAAACATGTGGGGGACCTCCCGCTCTCTGTCAGCGCTGCGTGTCTTGAGTTAAGGCCAAATGACTCCAAAGATATTCTCAAACCTAGACACAGTTATGTTCCTAAAGTGATTGGTACTCCTTTCAGAGTGCAGGTCATTTCCCTATCGGCTCTGCCAGCATCCGATAGCAAATGCGACGCCAATCTCCTCTGCCCAGTCAGAGCGTTGAGATTATACACTGCGCGCTCTGCCTCTTTCAGACACACGAAGCAGCTATTTGTTTTGTTTGGTGGGTGCAAAGGTCTTTCTGCCTCGAAATAGACACTGTCCAGATGGATAGTGGACGCTATCGCAGCTGCTTACATGTCGAAAGGTCTGCAATGCCTCTTGGGCTCACTCCACTAGAAGCATTGCCTCATCGTAGGCGTGGTCCAGCGGGATTTCCATTCATGACATATGTGTGGCGGCGAGCTGGGCTTCCCCGTCCACCTTTGTCATATTTTACAATCTGGAAGTTCCCGCCCTGCAGGCAAAACTTCTGGCGGTATAAGGGTAATGCACATGACAATCAGCTCTCCTGGTTGAGCTGCACTATTGGGTTGTTATATGCTGACACAGACCAGTGCCACCTCTCTGCTGTTCCCCTTAAGTTCTTATGTACATGTGCTGGCCCGCACTGCTGCTGGCCACCTATCTTTCCGACTTATCAGGGCTCCCCAGGTTTCCCCGGGGCTTATGTAGTGGATGCTTGGCGTACACGGTGTAGACAAAGGGTTACTGTAGCGTAAGCTAGCTTACGCAATACGAAAGAACCTCTCGTAAGAGAACGTATCGGTTACCTAACATAACCTCGGTTCTCTCTAAAACCAGCCGTGCTCGCGCCACAAGCGACTTTCAGTCGATGAAGACCAGGGAAGCAGCATCTGAACCCTGCTTATATACACCAAGCCATGCCCATTCTGGCAGGCTGTGATGCCATGAGGGCGCAGGGCAGGCGCCTCTAATTGGGCGTGACATCATGCCGGGATCACTGATAGGCTGCTGCAGTTGCCGCAGAGCTAGATAGCCCGCTCTGGTTCTGGCAGCTGCTGCACTGCGTTGACATTAAATACAAAATTAAGGATAATTTTTGGCTTCAATATCTCAAAAAGATTCATCTTTCCCTAGCTTAAACTAGCTTACACAATATTCGTTCCCTCTTCTAGGTTAGAGGCTCTCGAGGTTACGTTAGGTAATCAATACGTTATTATGTTATGGTTTGTCAAGATGTCATAAGAAAGACATCTTCAACAATGTAATAATTGCATCCACAATGTCATTATCGATGCGAAAAACACTTTGTACAAACCCTTCTTCATATTCATGACATGTGTCATGTCATGGTTATGAAGGTGTCATGTCAGTCTTATGCACACCCCTTCAAGTAAAGTGTAACCACTTAGGTAATTTTCAACATGGTGTATTATTTTAATATACACTTGTTCATCTATCTTCTGAGGTCTTGGCATTGTTTAAGAGACTAACATTGTAACCCTAAAAAAGGCCTTTAGGTTTTTTTTATTTTATTTTATTTTTTGTCTTGTTTGTCATGATCACAACTTCTTGAACTTCCTTTTATAAAAAATGTTCATGGGACTGTCACTAATATTTCCAAATCAATGTTTCTCAAATCAGAACTCCAAATGCGTGATCAGTTTTAACGACCACTCAACTGGAGGGACAGAGATGCATGCTATAGAATAATGTTTGACACACGGTGATTAAATCGTTTTCAACCAGAGAAAAGGTGATCAATGTATGATTTTAAAAAATTTTTTAGATAACATAAGATTGAGACATGTACAATGTTGATATCACATGAAACATTAAATTGCGATCACAAGACATAAAGACAAAAAATCAACAATAATAGCCTCTTAGGGTTTCAATAAATACATATTATTTTTTTGATAATGATATATTATAGTGAATAAAAAGAAGACAGTCATGTAAACTTAGTTTAAGCTCTTTATAAATTGTTGAGACATAGAGTGAAAGAGAAATAGAAAAAGCCTGTTAAACACAGGAGCACATTCAAAATACTGTAACAATGCGATTACAGAGGCATCTAAAAAACGCTGTGCAGTATAGTTTAATTTTAAGATCTTAAATAACATAGCACTTCATTTCTAAAAAAAAAAAAAAAAAAAAAAAAAAAACAATCTCTTTAATTTCATGTCTTACCAGCTGTGATGAATATTATAAATGAAAAATGTAAAATGAGTGTCAGGCATCTCTCCATCTCTCTCTGCTTGATTAATTCAACATCCAGTACAAGCTTCTCCGCCCTGATGATACAGAAGTACAGGCGTCCTCTCAGCCCCCTATATTAGAGAGAAAGAGGTTCAAATCCTCCAATCACACTCGCTGTTACCTTATTAGACAAAACAGAGGAAATCATCAAACAACTTCAGTGACAAATCAGACCAGGCTTTTATGATCTTCTCCATATATAAATATATATAAAACTGTCGGTGCTGATGAACTCTTCCTCCCCATCAAGACTGAGGGGATGCAGAAACACACACACACACACACATATTTCACTGACTTACAGGAGACAGGAAACTCTCCAGTTTATTTACAGCATCAAAGCCCAACACCTGCAGAGAACAGATAAAAGCACTGATAAATAACTCTATACATGTTAGCATGATATTAACATAATAAACTTAATAAACTCAACTATTTAAATTAAATACTATTGTCAAATAGCATTTTTTAAGTTAAAAATAGGCAGAAAAGACATTCTCCTTAAAATGTATTTTTGTGAAACATTTCATCACTTTCTCAACACAATTCTCATATTAGTGTTTTGTTTCAAATGGCCCCATACACACAAACTATTATTGTCAAAATTCATCTTGTGTCCAGCAGAGTCAGAGAGCTTCATTTCTGCTAAAGTGCCCTTGTAGAGTGAAGGGATGATAATTTTTTGTGTAGGCCAAAACCCAAGTCATTTTAACTTTTATATAAACCTACTAGTCTCTATTTTCATGCTTCTAGTACTTATTTTCATATACTAGTATCTATTCCATTAAGTACTAGTGCTTATTATTTTTAAGACTAGTGCCAATTCTTTAGAAATTGCTTATTCTTTAGGTAGTATGGCAAGCAGTTTTAACATTTAATCATTTAAACTGACTAGTATCTATTTTCATTCAGCCCATTCTCACCCCCAAGGCGTCACCTAACTGACGCCTTGGGAAGCATTTGGACATGCTTCAATATCTGACGCTTTAGGCGCCCTTTAGCGTCAGTTAGATGACGCCCTAGGATCGCGTGTACCCTACCCCCACCCCACACCTAAACCTAACCGCGTCCTCTAACTGACGCTTTCCTTTAGCGTCAGTTAGATGACGCCGTAGGATCGCGTCATGTAAGTGACGCTAAAGGGCGCCTAAAACGTCAAATATTGAAGCATGGTCAAAGGTGACACCTTGGGGTGAGAATGCGTTGTTTTCATTCTACTAGCACTGTTATGAGTCAGGGTTTTTCTTATCTTTATTCCCTCTCTCTCGCTCTCTCTCTCTCTCTCTCTCTCTCTCTCTCTCACACACACACACACTGACCGTTTCTCAATATGCCTTCTTGTCTGTACTTGTGTTCTTGTGGACTTGTGAAACGTCATCAGCCGCAGCCCAAGTACTGTCCCAATACACAAGTTTGCATTTCGGCAAGAATGGTTAAAAATCCCGGATGTGTTCTTGACACTCCAATTTTACCGAGGATGCATCGGTTGGTAACTTGTGTAAACTTGACGCAGAAATATCCCATAATTCATTTCGGCATTCGCGGAAGGAGCGGGAAGCAGGTCAATTTTAAGTTACCTGAATATTACCAGCGTGTTTTCCCGCCGTTGGCTAGTGATGTACACAAAAAAAAACAACAGAAGCAGAATTAAAATGAGACAGGTGTTGCTTTATTGTTATGAATATATATTACATTGTGTATGTAGAGTAATCCCTTAGGCTTGGGCGAAAAAGCCTGGCTGTTATCGTCAATAATTCTCGTTGTTTGGGCACCGCAGACGGCGTCTGTGCGGGGGTAACGTTGCTATTGCGCAATACCAGCAAGAACACATCATCTCAAACTGTCAGCAGCGTTCTGTGTGCTCGTCACCTCGTGAGTTTGTTCTTCCAAGAACAACTAGCAAGAGCTTTCTTCCCAAGAACACAAGTCTGTTCTTTGCATTCTTGGTTTTGAGAAACGGCCTCTCTCTCTCTCTCTCTCACACACACACACACACACACACACACGCACACACACTCACTCACGCTCCTACTTGCTCTCTCTTTCCGCACCTGTTAGTCTTTGCAATCAGTGCTTGCGCTGATTTGCTTTGACACCTGTTTCTACTTTTGCCTAAGTGTTCACCCTATCCACAAGTTTCCTACGCCCCATGAGGCCTTGCGTCAAAAGTGGGCGCGACTTCCGGTTGGAAGTAAACAAAGCGTGATTTGACATGCTTGACACTCGTTCATTCAACAGTTGACAGTCATTCAAGTTATAGCGATCCAAACTAGCTAACGATGTGGGAACACAACCTCAACGAAATTAAAAAGGGTGAAATAACAGTACCTTTACCCTCCTTGATCCTGAGTTTAGCTGTAACATCAGTAGAGAACAGCCAAACACATGCTGATAGAGTTTATAGAACATTAAGAATTTAAACAAATGTACACAGGAAGATTCGTCGTCTTTTGGGAGGTGATGGAAACTACAGTCGTTGGCAACCGCGAGCAGCACATGTTGTCCCTGAGCTCCGTAACGACATCTCTCATAAAGATTTGCGTCTTTAAATAGTAAAATAATTCTCAGAAAAACAGCTAGCCTCTTCGCTAACTAACACACAAAATACCATTGGAATGCTACTTCCGCCGCGTCACCGGAAGTTTCACCCACTTTATTTTTTACAGGAGCGCCCCTTGGAAACTTGTGGATATCTGGTGTTTGTTTTAGTAGTCTCTTTGTCGGATCATTGTTGCACGTCACGTCACGTCCGTCCTCTCTGATCAAGTTAAGTGCTAACCCAGTCTTGTCTTGTTTATCCGAATCAGTGTGGCTACAAAAGTATTTTCCGTGCCCTGCTGTTGCTGCTGCTTGAGTTTCTCTTCGTCCACTCTCCGTGACTGAGACCTCTCCTGTTCCTAAAGTCTGCGCCAAAGAAGTTCTGTACAGCTCATCGTGCCAGGAGTTTATTCCCACTTCAGTTATTGTCACCAGTTCTGTGTTCATTTACGACAGACTGCCTTTGTTTCTATTATTTCATTAAAGACTGTTATTCCTATCTCTCTGCTTTTGGATCCTTCATTTATATGCGTGACAAGTGCAGTACTTGGTTTTTTTTTAGATACTAGTATCTATTCCATTAAGGACTAGTGCTTAGCTAGCGCTTATTCTTTATATACTAATGTCTTTTTAAAGATACTAATACTTATTCATTATAGTCCTTATTTATTATAGTGCTTATTCATTAGTTACTACTTATTCATTAGATACTAGTACTCAATATAGTACCTATTTATTAGATAGTAACTAATGAATAAGTACTAGTACCAATTTAAGAGGCACTCAAATCTAATGAATAATGAATGAATAAGTACTAGTGTCTTTTTAGGTAGTAATAAAAACTAGTATCTAAAATGTTTAGTCTAGTATCTAAAAAGTCTCCAAAATATTTAAAATACAACCCAGCATGAATTGTTTTAAGTTATATTTTGTCAGTGTAATACTTTAGACTGCATACATTTTGAAGGGTTTTTTTTTCTGCTTAATTTGGAGTTATGATAACATAAATCACAATAGAGATAAATAAAATATAAAAGTCAACAATATTAAAACACAACCAAATCAAAGACAGACAACAGAATAATCAAGATAATAAATCAGATATTCTTAAAAGAGTCTTTTCATTCTTGGCTTTAATTAATATTCATTAAATTCAGGAATCAGGAGTAGAAGAGCATTGATCAATTGTTTTTCTCTTCAAAAATGCTGTTTGCTTAAATATTCACTTCACACAATTTGTAATATGTAATAATCTTTTTGGATGAGATATCTATTGTAGCTACCATGTAATGCAACTGATTTCCCATTGGAAAAATGTTTCCTGGTCTGAGGAGTCTCGATTTCTGTTGAGACATTCAGATGGTGGAGTCTGAATTTGGCGTAAACAGAATGAGAATATGGATCCATCATGCCTTGTTATCACTGTGCAGGCTGGTGGTGTAATGGTGTGGGGGATGTTTTCTTGGCACACTTTAGGCCGTTAGTGCCAATTGGGCATCATTTAAACCTGAGCATAGTTTCTGACCATGTCTATCCCTTTATGGCCACCATGTATCCTCTAATGGCTACTTCCAGCAGGATAATGCATGATGTCACAAAGCTCGAATCATTTCAAATTGGTTTCTTGAACATGACAATGAGTTCACTGTACTAAAGTGACCCCCATAGTCACCAGATCTCAACCCAATAGAGCATCTTTGGGTTGTGGTTGAACAGCAGCTTCGAGCCCTGGATGAACATCCCACTATCAATTTGAGCCAACATTTCTAAAGAATGCTTTAAGCACCTTGTTGAATCAATGCCACGTAGAATTAAGGCAGTTCTGAAGGTGAAATGGGGTTTTATAACAGGATTATAACGGTGTTCCTAATAATCTTTTAGGTGAGCTACGCATCAAAAGAATGAGAAGAAATAAGGGCGATTGATGTCAATAAAAAAAATGACAAGTTATAGTGCTGCAGAGATATCAACCTGAATTAGCATGCTAAATTACTTGCCACGGCCAGACAGGTGTCGTAATACCAGTTTCGGCCATGGGAGGCGGTATGTGGGCAACATAACCACCAGCCAAACTTTAATACACGAGTAACTCGCACGGCTTGTGGGCATACTTGAACCTGTCAATCGTGTGGAAACTACAGCCAACTACTACATTTTAAGTTCAGGGAAGAGAGCGGAAGGAATGGCTGAAGCCCCTAAGTTGTAGCATACTGTATCTTTCAATAGTGTTTGTGTTTTTTTTTTTTTTTTTTACTAAGTCATATAACTGACATCGTTTGACCATACGTCAATATCCGCCTTTTTAGGGCCCCCTTAAACGTCGGTAGATGATGATCCCAGGCCGTCATACAACTGACGCTTTACCTTTAACGTCAGTTAGGTGACGGGGTAGGTTTAGGGGTAGGTTTAGGTCTGGGGTAGAGTTAGGATCCGATAACGTCATCTACCGAAAAAAAGGCGGATATTGACGTATGGCCAAAAGACGTCCCAAGACGTCAGTTATATGACGTCTTGGGATGACACTGTGTTATATTAGCTAGTAGAGAAGATCGGTTCACGCAGCTCATTTAAGCTTCAGAATTCAAATAAATTGTGTTCCTTTGTGAAGATTATCAATGAACAAATTGTGGAAAATTCCCATTGCGCTTTTTTTTAGATAACCAGGGTGATGATAACTTCTCGGTTTGCATCCAAAAATAAGTCATCACTGCAGCACTCTATTGACCAATAATACTTAGAGAACTAACATTGCATATTTTAAAAAGTTGAACAATACATGTATCTCTGCAGATTTTAATATGAGAGGCTATAACTATTTATACAGGACTCTCTAGTTATGAAGACAGGCAAGAGTGATGGGTCGCGGGAATGGGGTTGTTTCATGACAATATGTCTGTCATCTTGTGGTAACGAAAATATGACTAGGTCTAGACTACTTGCTTTGAGCAGGTGTTGTTAGTGAACAGGCTGTGTGTTGGCTAAGTTACAAACACTGATGAAAAACCGCGGCTATTTATCTGGCAAACATTCTATAACAGCAGTCATGCTGCCATTATTTGTGTAAAACAAGTTGTAAATTTGTTGTAAAATCAAAACAGGAGATCATGAGTTACTGTGCTCAAAGTGATGCTCGGAGCTCCAGTGGTTTCCTGTGGGTGAACGAAACTTTCGGAAGATGTTGTCGTAGCAGAATAACGTGACCAATTCCAGGATATGCTTTCATTGGTTGTTGCATGAAATCTTATCCAGATTCCAGATGCAATAGTGCTATTTTCTGATTGGCTTTTGTGTAGCCCCTTTCTTTTTTTGATTGGCTGATAAGTGGCAGGCTCAACTAAGAAAGCCAGGGGAGACGCGCTTGATTCCTGTCGGGTCCATAGTGAGAGCGGCGCGGCCAGAGACATATGCGCCACGGCATATTAAATAAATAGTTTTTCTGCATGTAAAATGCAATGTGTGTAGAGAGTGTGTGACAAAAGACCGAAATGAGTGACTGTCACGCTGTGACACCTGAAAGCCTTGTGAAAATCTCAAATGGTGTGATAAAACAAGAAGAGACCTTGTTTATTTTTACCTTTAAAGTCCGAAATAATCAAGATTCACTTTCCTCAGGTTTTAGACTGACCCCTGGGATAACCATTTAAAGTGTGAAAAGCACAATGGAGTTCTGATAGGATAACAGGATTCCAGAGACAAGACATTTTTTAACTCACAACAAATTATTTAAGTTAAATTAATAAATAAATAATTCATAACGGTGAATAGGAGAAAAATAAAAAGACAACATAGTTTTTATACAGTATATTTCTCACTCTTTCACTAGCACCGCTTTAAAAATTGCCTTAAATCACACAACTATAAGCTTAATATACTGTATGTGGTTCACATTCAGTAAGTATTCACACTGTGACTCATATCTTTTGGGTAAGACATACTTCTATTACCAGACATGTAATGCAATTGTGTCCATATTAATTTATTAATAGTCTACTTGCACAACACAGCCCTTCTGACTCAATAATCATCCTGTTTTGGGTTGGATACAATGTTTTGATTCTTAAACAACTAAATGATTAAAACTTGAGAAAAAAAATAAGCATTACACACACTAGCAATAAGCATTAAATAAGACCAAGTTATTTCTTTATGTTGTTTCTGTAGTACTATCCTGAATTAGCTATTTCACATAACAGATGTTTAATAGCAGAATCTATTAATATGTCCTCGTTCAAAAGTTTACATACCCATAAATCCTATAGGGATAGTTCACCCAAAAATGAAAATTCTGTCAGTAATTACTCACCTTAATGTTTTTCCAACCCCGTAAGACATTTGTTCATCTTGCGATCACTCCTCCATAGGCTTCTGAAACTTGCCGGCCCAGAAAAGTTATTAAAGACATCGTTAAATTAGTCCAAGTGACTACAGTGGCTCAATCTTAAATTTATAAAGTGGCGAGAATACTTTTTGTACAAAAAAAAGACGACTTTATTCAACTATTAATTCAGTTCACATAGTCACAGTGTAACAGCGTAGTGCTTCTCTGTTGTACGTCACATGCATTGCACACATGACCAGCATCGGCCAATAGTGAGCCTACGTGTGACGTACAACCCAGAAGCGTTGCGCTGTTATACTATGTCATTCAACAGCTTAGGAGAATGACATGGATAAGACGAGATGGTACAAAAAGTATTCTCGTCGCTTGATAAACTTAAGATTGAGCCACTGTAGTCAATTGGACAATTTTAACGATTTATTTAATAACTTTTCAGGGAAAGCAAGTTTTAGTCCTTTAGAAGCTTATGGAGGAGTGATCCAGCTCTCAGATTGTGTTACAAAAATGATAGAAAGTCTAACGGGGTTGGATCAACATGAGGGTGAGTAATTACTGACAGAATTTAAATTTTTGGGTGAACTAACCTTTTAATACTATTAGCTGAGTGATCCCCAACTGTTTTTTTCCAGTCCCTTGTTTGTCATATGAACAATTAAACTGCCCATGTTCTTCAGAAAAATCCTTCAGGTTCTGCCCATTATTTTATTTCCCAGCATCTTCTGCATATTTTAACTCTTTTTAGCTGTAGCTGTATCACAACTAAAACAAAAGCTGTAAACATTCACGGATGCTCCTGAAGGAAACACACTGCATTAAGACCCGGAGTGTGTAAACTTTTAAACAGGATAGGTATGTGTAAGGTTTACTTATTTTGTTTAAAGGTTGTTGTTGCTTTTTGTTGTTGTTGTTTTTCCCATTTAGTGCTGCATGCTTCTAGAAGCTACGCACCATAAATACTTACATGTTTCCCAGAGGACAAGAATACATTTTACCCTGATCATAAAATTAAAAAGTTTACATCCCCCAGCTCTTTTTGCACCATGTTGCGTTTTTGAACATTAGTGAATATTTTCACCTGTATGAGTCCCTTAGTTGTTCTCTCGCTCTTATTTTGTAGCCCGCCCCTTTTTAACACTGTGTTCATTATTTTCTGTATTTGTATTTCCACAGCATAAATGTAAAATCTTACAGCTTTATGAATGAGCCGCTCATTTAAAATCTTCCCAGTCTACTGACATTTGTTATGACATTCGCTTTAAGGTCTAAATGTAAACATACGTTATTTGAAATAGCTTTTTTAGGACAGTACTAAAATAACATTACATTTTTTATAATCCCTATTATTTTGTTTAAATTAGTATTTTTTTTTTTTACAAATTTAGCCTATTAACCTTAGAGCACAACTGTAAAACAGAACAGGGAAATAAATATAACTTCAAGCAAGGAATAAGGCAAAATAAAAATAAATCAACATTGATGAAAAAAATATATTAGCATGATTTTATGCATTTATTGTGCATGTGTTTGTTTTTTCATTGCTTTTATGATCGTTAGATGTGTTTGTTAAAGAAAAGCAAAAAAAAAAAAAAAAAATTCTAAGCAATCCTTTTTATAAAATGCAAGCTCATCAATACAAACTATTTTGAATCCTAAAGTAGCGATTTAACCCAACTCTAACTGTAAAATGAACTGAGGCAGTAGGTGTGGCCATTGGGTCATGCAGTAATGCCTAATTTTTTGACTCCTCCCCCACATCATCATAGTCTGTTATTAAAAACAAAAGCAAATATATCATGTTTAATGTTGTATTTAACATCTAAAACCGAGCCTATTAAAATCAGCAAATGGTTACTCAAAGATTAAAAAAGAGACAAACACTTACCCAGAAGGTTTCTGTAATCTTCATTGCTGTTCTTCACATCATCGTACTCCTCCTGATCTCCCTCTGATTCACATGTGAAATAAAACCTCACATTGTAATTTTTAATACAGCTTGTGTCACTGAGGATGTTATTGATCTCTTTCCCTCATGACTGTCTGAGGTTATTAGATTTACTCCTAATAAGGTCATGATGATCCATTAATGGTAAACAATAAACGCATATATTGTCCTGTAACTCACCCGTTACACCTTGAGGTGCCTGTTCATTAATGATGACATCATCATAATTTTCTGGCATGTCCACTAAACACACACACCAATGTTGCATTTTACTGAGCATCAATTTAAATGGACTGTGTGATTATATACATAAAACAATACATAAAACACATAAAACAATAAATAAACAAAAAAGTAATACCAGAGTAATACCTTCTTTAATACCAGAGTTCTGATTCTGAACACTGGTGATGACATCATCATAGCTTCCAGGTGTGTCTTCTACAAATTTAACATAAATCAAAAGTCATCACACTAAAACAAACTTGTATATATTTTCTTAATTGTATAAATATATATATATATATATATATATATATATATATATATATATATACGTTTTGGTTTCAGTCCAACAGTAATGACATCATCATAGTAACAGAATATTTTTAGGACTCAATGCTCTTGTTGACCATAAGGCCATTACATTTTGATCAATCAATGAATGATGCGACCAGTTTACAAGACTAAAGTTGGCCAATAACGTAATATCAGTGAAAGGATATTATAGACAAAAACACACACAAACATACCATACAAATTTATGATCCCCAACCTCCCGAAACACCCACAGAAATTTATGTGTATGTTATGCACGTGTGTGTGTGTGTACATTTTTTGGATTATACAACACTAACCAATCATTTAAATTACAGCACAAAAGGTCCCACAAATATGACTCAATGTGATTTACTCCACACACCTCTCTGAATATATTGATTTTCCTGTTGATCTCCACAAATCAGAAGCTATGACACTTACCCCCCTTTGTGAAGAAACTCTGTCTATTAGTGGGTCTGTGATGAATCTCCTCATAAACGGCCTCAGTCGTCATCTTGTGTCTCCTCTTAGAGAGATCTGTGTGTGTAGACAGACAAACCTGCTGTCAGTTCACAACACATGACTGATCACACACTGAATAAGACACACTATGACAGTCTCTGGATCTCTCCTACCTCTCCTCATCACTCTGTTCTGCTGAACTAGTATAAGCAGTGGCACTAAGAGCAGTACGAGCAAAACTACCAGTACAACCACAAGCACAGAGAGAGACGCTGCTGGAGGAGTTTGTGGAGGAGTGACTGATGTTGAGCGCACTGTCTGAGAAACTGGACGAGAAGATGATGTTGTTGTGGCAGGAGTAGTGGACACTGACAAATCTGCCAAAACACATTCAAACACATTCAAAATCATGCAAATAGACAAAGATTATTAGTATAAAATGATGACTACTATTGTTCAGTGTGTTGCTGTGACCTGCACATGTGAGTCCAGCGTGATCTTTGTGGGAACAGTCAGTGTGGTTCAGGGAGTGAGGACAGTCCCACAGGTGAATCTCATTCCCTCTGCACTCGACTCTGTTCATCCACACAACACCTTCACCAGCACCAAACACTGAATTCCCATCAGCCCTCAGTGCGTCTCCACAACCCAGCTGCCTGCAGACCACCTGAGCATCGCTGATGTCCCACAGATCAGCACAGACTGAACCCCACACAGCGTTATGATACACCTCCAGCCTTCCAGAGCACCGGCCCAAACCTCCACTCAGTCTGAGAGGAACATGCTCTAAAACACACATAGAAGACAACACAATAATATCCAGAAGAGTACTATCAGAACAGCAGTGCCTACAGGGGGAATATTTGTGTTGCGTGAGATTAATTCCAATAACTGATATTCTTCGCCATCAAATTAATTACCTGAACGCTGTCTCTTGTAGGGAGATGTAGAACTTGTCAAATAGCTTCGAGGGGACTCAAGACTTTTATGTTCTGGATTCGGAAGTTAGAGCATTAAAAACATTATTATGTTTTGTTAATTAATATTATTATTAATAATACACATGCTAATGTTAAGTAATGAAACTTTAAAGTGTTACCAAAAAAAGTAAAAAAAAAAAAAGATATGTCTCCATAATGCTAACAATATACAGTGTCGCAATGACAGTCTTTTGGCAGTGCCGCAGCTGTCAAGAGTTCAATGTGAGTAGATGACATGAAGTGGTCCAGGTTAGACTACACTGATTAGAGTTTTTTCCAAAAAATGTTATCAGCACTCTACGGAGTCCCTAAAGGGACCTTTGTAAAAATGTATTTTAACTTCTGCAAGAGCTGCAAGCCATGGTCCTTTTCTCTCATCAGTATTTGCCACAGTATGCAATTAATACATGTTTGTGGGGTAGTGCTCAAAACAGTTTAATTCCTTAATTTTACTGGCTTGACCCTGAGTTTTTTTTTTTTTTTTTTTTTTTTAAATCTTAGTAGTGTTCAAAAAGTTTATTTTTAATTAATTCAGTTGCTGTGTTTATCTAGTAATAACATGGGTTACTATGGAGACCACAAATATAACAACGGAAGTTTGAATCTGTCATTACAGCACTCATTAGTTGCTCAGGAAAAAAAGGTGGAGAATATATTATATTATACCTTACCTGAGCAGGTGATTTTGGCCACTTCATTTTCACCACAGTCATTCTTTCCCAAGGGTAAAGATGGACACTGCCACAGATTTGAATCATGTGGTCGACATTTTACTTTATCCAGCCAGTTACGAGCTGAATCCAGCCTTGTTATAGAATTGGAAAAAGTACCAGATCTTCCACAGTTCAGCTCTTGACAGATCAGACTCGCTGTGTCTCTGTCCATCTGGTTCCAGCACACATTACCCCAGGATCCATTGTAGAAAACCTCCACATTCCCTTCACAGCCCTCAGTTAACCTGATCTCTTTAAACTCTAGATGGAAAAAGACAAGCTCAATTCTGGCTGTGATATTATATATATATATATATATATATATATATATATATATATATATCAAACATTTCCACTAGAGTACCTGAGCACACGACTCCTACATCCTCCTTGTGTTGACAGTCATGTTTCTCCCAGCCTGGAGAAGAGCAGTTCCACAGGGACGTCTCATTCCCCTCACACTCCACCTCATCCAGCCATATGTGTCCAGAACCAGGACCAAACCAGGCTGGTACCTGCTGGTTACTGAGGGCCACTCCACACTGCAGCTGTCTGCACACCACATGGGCATCTTTAATATCCCAGGAGTCATCACACACTGTCCCCCATGAGCCGCTGTGAAAAACCTCCAGCCTCCCTGCACAGTCTCCCCAGAACCCACCAGCCTGATGGACCCGCGGCCTGATATTCAGAGAGAGAAAAACACATTATTGATCACCAACAACTGAAGAATCTGCCCAGATGTTGTTGTGCTCACCAAGGCAGGAGATTGACAGCTGTTGTGTGGAGCTGCAGTTGAGAGTTTGTGGAGAGCTGCAGTTCCCCAGATGAGCTTCACTCCCAGAGCACTGGAAGCCCGTCACACACTCATGACTGTGTTCAGGACTGGATGAAGAGGAGCCGGAGAAGTTCAGCACAGAGCCACAGCCCAGCTGTCTGCAGACCACAGAGGATTCAGTGAGACTCCAGGAGTCCAGCAGAACTCTCCTCCAGACCTGATGGATGGAAACTTCCAGCTCCCCCTCACACTGTCTCTCTCCAGACAACCGCACCAGACCGTCATGAACAGACAGAGAGGAATCTAGAGAGAAAATCTCATCTTTTACTAAAATAAGAATTGTGTTATAACATTGTGAAAAATAGCATAATTTTCTCTGTGTCAAATAAGTTTACCAGAGCAAATGACTCCAACATCTCGTCCATGAGAACATTCAGCTCGACTCCATGAAGAGACGGGACATTCTGAGAGTTTTGTTTCATTCCCGTCACAATCAAACACATCAGCCCAGATTTCACCACTTCCCTCTCCAAACCAGTCTGATCCCACAACAGACACAGCAATCCCACAATTCAGCTGTCTACAGAGGACACTGGCAGCTCTCATATCCCAGCATGCATCACACACTGTGCCCCATTTACTGAGGAACCGAAGCTCCACTCTTCCAGAACAGATGTCAGGACCATTGACCAGTCTGAGATCAGTGTAACCTGAATAAAGAACATACAGGTTAAAACAAAGTATAAAGCAGCTGACAGTGAACACAAACTGTTTTAAATACAGGCAAAGAGAAACTGAAAATTTATAATTTATAATTTACCAGAACAGACCAGACCCACATTAAAGTCACTGGTACAGCTTTGTTTGTGTGATAATGAAATTGAGCAAAATGAAATCTGAGACTCATTTCCTCTGCACTGAATCTCTTGTGTCCACATCTGAGCGTCTCCTTTTCCAAAAGCATCTTCTCCCAGCACCTGTACAGGAGCCCCACAGTCCAGCTCTCTACACACAACCTCTGCATCCTGCTGGTCAAAGGCAGCGTCACACACTGACACCCACGACTGATCATCAAGTATCTCTAACCTCCCAGAGCAGAGGTGAGATCCATTAATGAGTCTGGAAGCTTGATGGCCTGTTAATATGACAGGAATGACAGTGTACAGTAGACAAAAACAAATGCTTGATAGTTAAATACAATAAGCATACAAACAGTTTTCCTAACAAAATATCTTTATGTAAAAACAGATGAATAGGCAATGAGTTCAATTATTCACCCGAACAGATGACACCGGCATCATAATTGTGAGTACAGCCATGTATGTTCCATCCAGATGACCCACAGTTCTTCAGTGTTGACTCTGATCCAGTGCAAAATACAAGATCCATCCAGATTGTTCCTGATCCTGGTCCAAAATGAGCATCACCCAGAGCATCTACAGGTTCTCCACAGTCCAGCTCTCTACACACCACTGCAGCATCAGCCAAATCCCAACCACTACCACACACTGTTCCCCACTGACCTCTATGAAGAACCTCCACTCTACCAGCACAGCGACTGTGACCACCAACCAACCGCACATTCTTTTTATCTAAATGACAGAAAAATACAGATAGAGACTGTAGGTGCATCTCTGTAAGCACACTAGTTCGTGTTCGTGTGTGTAAAGTATGTCATGAAAATATACTTTGATTGTTGTTATATATATCTCCCAGAATTTAGAGATAAAGCATAAAAGGAGGAGTTGTTGCTCCTCCTTTTATACTTCCGCTCCTCCGTGAGAGATGCGAGACCGGTGCGTCTCACAGGTGACGTTCATTAACACTCACACCACCGGCCTTGTGATGTTCTCCCACGTCCCTCGGCCTCGTCCTGCTTGACACAAATATTTACTTTTCAAATCTTCTATCGCATTTCATGACGATATTGTGTTGGTTTGTGCAATTTTTTTTGCACTTAACAGAATTTCCATTAAGGGGAACGTAGTGAGCATCTGGATTTTGGAGTGCATTGTGGAATTTTTAGGGCGCAAATATTCCAGTGTACCTAAAGTATTTTTTAGATTGAGACAAACCTTAAAATGACTGGCTCCTTGGCCAGTGTTCTGACTGTGAAAGCTAACTGAGATGCATCCTATTAGTAAAAGGTATGATGCTATATTCTGTTGACTCACCAGCACAGAACAGCCCTTGGTAATTATAATCTGAACAGCTGTTTTTGTGTAAGGATGTTGGACAAGAGTGAATCTGAGACTCATTTCCTCTGCACTGAATCTCTTGTGTCCACATCTGAGCGTCTCCTTTTCCAAAAGCATCTTCTCCCAGCACCTGTACAGGAGCCCCACAGTCCAGCTCTCTACACACAACCTCTGCATCCTGCTGGTCAAAGGCAGCGTCACACACTGACACCCACGACTGATCATCAAGTATCTCTAACCTCCCAGAGCAACTGGAGTTTCCAATAAGCCTGACACCTGAAGTCGCAAGAGATAAGAAATGCAATTCTTGTCATTATTGTTCTACCATAATGCACCACTTATTAACGTGAAAGGAGTAAAATAGTCAAATTACTCTCATGTCAATCCATTTCATCTGACTTTCTTTTTTATGGAACATAAAAGGGGAATTTTACAGAATATCCTGGTACTCTTTTTAATAAAATGAAAGTAAAATTAGGAAGAAAAATATATATATATATATATATATATATATATATATATATTTAGTGCTCTACAGAACAAAGTCACAGAGGTTTGAAAAGACACAAAATAAATGATGACTGAGTTTTCATTTTTGGTTGAACTTTCCCTTTAAGGCAGTAAGTTATCAGTGATGTAAAAACAGTGCAGGGTTTGGAGTAATTTACCTGAGCAGATTACTCCTGCATCTTTAGTATGATCACAGTCATAAAAACCCCAATTTAATGTTCCACAGTTCTTCAGTGTAGATTCTGATCCCGAACATAACCTGGGATTTGTCCAGATTGGTCCTGATCCTGGTCCAAAATGAGCATCAGTCAGAGCATCTACAGGTTCTCCACAGTCCAGCTCTCTACACACCACTGCAGCATCAGCCATATCCCAGCCAGCTCTACACACTGTTCCCCACTGACCTCTATGAAGAACCTCCACTCTACCAGCACAGCGACTGTGACCACCAACCAGCCTTACTCTCAAATTGTCTTTAAAATAAATAAAGACATACGGACACAGAAAAAGAATGAAACTACTTTTTATAAACTATTATAAAAAGTACCAATATTTAGTGTAGATTTTGGTAACATTAAATTTGATGTCAGTTAATTTAAAAAAGGCTCAAACCTGCACACACCAGTCCAACATCATTGTCATAAGAACAGTTGTGTTTGTGTGATGGTGTTTTTGAACAGAAGTGAATCTGAGACTCATTTCCTCTGCACTGAATCTCTTGTGTCCACATCTGAGCGTCTCCTTTGCCAAAAGCATCTTCTCCCAGCACCTGTACAGGAGCCCCACAGTCCAGCTCTCTACACACAACCTCTGCATCCTGCTGGTCAAAGGCAGCGTCACACACTGACACCCACGACTGATCATCAAGTATCTCTAACCTCCCAGAGCAGCGAGAACCTCCAACCAGCCGGACTTCTGAAGGAGCAACACAGGAAAAAAAAATATAGTTAGAGAACTTCAATATATATAAACAATGCATCAATCTACGAGAAATCATATCTTCCTTATCTTCTGAAATAAAATCTAAATAAAACATATCATACATGTCAGCAAAACTTTTTCCCAGTCCAAAAGGACTTGAAAGTAACCAACAAAACAGCTATATTTACAAAACAGTGTACAGTTGTTGTTTATGTAAATATCCAAATGCATTACATGACCGCCTGCATTTCAACATTTTTATGTCAACAATATCTATGAATGATCAACTCGGTCTCATCCCAAGACGTCATATAACTGACGTTTTTGGACGTCTTTTGACCATACGTCAATATTCGCCTTTTTAGGGCCCCCTTAAACGTCGGTTGATGAGGTTATGGGATCCTAACTCCACCCCAGACCTAAACCTAACCCGTCACCTAACTGACGTTAAAGGTAAAGCGTCAGTTGTATGATGGCTCGGGATCGCCATCTACCGACGTTTAAGGGGGCCCTAAAAAGGCGGATATTGACGTATGGTCAAAAGACGTCCCAAGACGTCAGTTATATGACTTTTTGGGATGAGACTGTGAATGATTCCTATCAGGTAATTACATTAAAATGATGAGTTAGAAACAATCATCAAAAGTTTATTTTTAACAAGGTCTCTGATTATTACAGTCTGACCTTAACAGTTTGTGTTGTCAAAAAGAAACTGGAAAATGGTCACAAGAAAATGACATTATGACTGCGTTTGGAACAATCGTTTTGTACATTAAGACAGGATATTATCTTTAGCTTACCTGAACAAATGACCTGAGCGCTCTTATTAAGACACACATCAAGATCAGTGGGTTGCATGAATACACATTTCTTAAGTGTAGACTCTGATCCAGCACACATTGCACTTTTCATCCTAAACGGTTTTGATCCTGGTCCAAAATGAGCATCACTCAGAGCATCTACAGGTTCTCCACAGTCCAGCTCTCTACACACCACTGCAGCATCAGCCAAATCCCAGCCAGCTCCACACACTGTTCCCCACTGACCTCTATGAAGAACCTCCACTCTACCAGCACAGCGACTGCTACCGTTTACCAGTCTCACATTTCTTATGTCTATGAATGTAAGAGAAAAGGCAATTGTAAATTTAAAATGTTATAATAAAATGAAATGTTCTTTGTTGTACTTTGAAGTCTTACCAGTACACAGCAAACCAATGTTGTGCGCATCCGAACAGTTGTTTTCATCTAACGGTGATGTCGGGCAGAGGTGAATCTGAGACTCATTTCCTCTGCACTGAATCTCTTGTGTCCACATCTGAGCGTCTCCTTTTCCAAAAGCATCTTCTCCCAGCACCTGTACAGGAGCCCCACAGTCCAGCTCTCTACACACAACCTCTGCATCCTGCTGGTCAAAGGCAGCGTCACACACTGACACCCACGACTGATCATCAAGTATCTCTAACCTCCCAGAGCAGCGAGAACCTCCAACCAGCCGGACTTCTGAATAAGACAACATAGATCAAAAGTATGGCTTATTTATTGGGCTTCAAGATAATGATGTGTACATCAATGCCATTATCTCATAATAAATAAATAAATAAAGCAAAAACACAAAAGAAAACCACAACAAATATAAATAACATATATTTTTTATTGAAGTCAACATTTTAAAACTTAAAAAAATAGCATATTAATTTTAATCTGTAAAATACTTTACCTGAACAGATGACTCCAGCATCATTACTATGATCACAGTTGCTTCTACCCCATCCTGCTGACCTACAGTTCTTCAGTGTAGACTCTGATCCAGTACACGCGACATAACTCATCCAGATTGGTCCTGATCCTGGTCCAAAATGAGCATCACCCAGAGCATCTACAGGTTCTCCACAGTCCAGCTCTCTACACACGACTGCAGCATCAGCCAAATCCCAGCCAGCACCACACACTGTTCCCCACTGACCTCTATGAAGAACCTCCACTCTACCAGCACAGCGACTGTGACCACCAACCAGCCGCACATTCACACGGTCTAAATATTAAGCAACAATAAGAGATGAAAGATGAAGGGATGAGAGTTAAATTTAGCATTACAAAGTGGGACAACTGGGAAAATGGGACACATTCGTCTGAATATTTAAAATGAATATTCAGAGTTCAATACAAGTTTAGCTCAATAAACATCATAGGTAGCCTATGTTGATTAACAAAAAAATTATCATGCTGACTCCCTCCTTTTATTAAAAAAATGTATGGTTTAAAGACAGAAATGTGAAGATTAGAATTTAATAAAAATCAATTTGATAATTTTTTTTACAATTTACAATTTAAAATTTTATTATTTTAATTATCCTAAAATGCTTTATAGTTTCAGCAGTAAATAGTTAAAAACAATTACATTATTTTTATCATTATGTTGTTGTGGAAACAAAGTTTAAAACTGGAAATGACTTTGCACAGAAAAGGCTACTAAGCATTTTTTTTCCACACTATGATCATGGTAACACATATTTGTTTATGTCTTGTTTCTATATTATTAAAACAGTATTTTAAAGTTGACAGAAACCCCCTTGGGGGGACAAGCACAAATGTGATATTTAGGTAAAAGTATGCCACAAATTATGCTGGGCTTAAACTAAATTAAACCTGGTGTATTCTGTTAATATATTTGTTCCCTCTATATAGTTCTTCTAGCTGAGGTCTTAGCATTTGTTTAAGAGACTAACATTGTGACCTTGTAAGAATTATTTATTTTTTAATAAAAATGTTCATTGGACTTGAATGAGCAAACATGTCTGTCACTATATTTTCAAATCAATGTTTATCGAATCAGAACTCAATTTTACGGCCACCCAACTCGGGGGACCGCATTCCTGCATGGTTATAATGTCTGACACATGGCGATTAAGTCGTTTTCAATCAGAGAAAAGGTGATCAATTTGATTTTTTTTTTTTTTTTTTTTTTAATAACAGAAGATTAAGACAACATTTACAATGTTGATATCATATGAAACATTTAATTGCAATCACAAGACAAGACAAAAAAAAAAAAAAAAATAATTGCATCTTGGGGTTTCAATAAATTAATATTATTTTGATAACAGTATATTATTGAATAAAAAAGAAGACACTCATGTAAAAACTTATTTATAGCTTTTTATAAAATGTAGAGATAGAAAAAAACTGCCTGTTAAACACAAGAGCACAGTCAAAGACAATCCGATTTCACATGCATCTAAAAAAAACATAACAGTTTAGTTTAATTTTAAGATCTTAAATAAAATAGCCATTCATTTCTAAAATAAATAAATAAATTAAAAATAAAAATCTTAAATTTCACATCTTCTTACCAGCAGTGATGAATATTGTACTTGAAGACAGTAAAACTAGTGTCAGGCATCTCTCCATCTCTCTCTGCTTGATTAATTCAATATCCAGTACAAGCTTCTCCGCACTGATGATACAGAAGTACAGGCGTCCTCTCAGCCCCCTATATTAGAGAGAAAGAGGTTCAAATCCTCCAATCACACTCGCTGTTACCTTATTAGACAGAACAGAGGAAATCATCAAACAACTTCAGTGACAAATCAGACCAGGCTTTTATGATCTTCTCCATATATAAATATGTATAAAACTGTCACTGCTGATGAACTCTTCCTCCCCATCAAGACTGAGGGGATGCAGAAACACACACACACACACACATATTTCACTGACTTACAGGAGACAGGAAACTCTCCAGTTTATTTACAGCATCAAAGCCCAACACCTGCAGAGAACAGATAAAAGCACTGATAAATAACTCTATACATGTTAGCATGATATTAACACGTAATAAACTCAACTATTTAAATTAAATACTATTGTCAAATAACATTTTTTAAAGTTAAAAAGAGGCAGAAAAGACGTTCTCCTTTAAATGTATTTTTGTGAAACATTTCATCACTTTCTCAACATAATTCGCATATTGCACCAGTGTTTTGTTTCAAATGGCCCCATACACACAAACCATAATTGTCAAAATTCATCCTGTGTCCAACAGAGTCCGAGAGAGTCTGTGTGCTTCATTTCTGCTAAAGCGCCCTTGTAGAGTGAAGGGATGGTACAATTTTTGTAGGCCAAAAACCCAAGCCGTTTTAACTTTTAATCATTTAAACCTTCTAGTCTCTATTTTCATGCTTTTAGTACTTATTTTTACAAAGTATCTATTCCATTAAGTACTAGTAGGCCTGCTTATTCATTATAGCTTATTTTTTAGGGACTTGTGCCTATTCTTTAGGTACTAGTATGGCAAGCCGTATTAACATTTAAATGGAATAGTCTCTACTTTCATGCTTCAAGTACTTATTTTTTTATCCAAAACGGTTAGCTTGTAATGATGATTTTAATTCCAGTGGTACTGGTGGGTTTCGGCGGGACATTCGAGCATGTCTTTGCGTCATTACGTCACACCCGTACACATAAAGAAGGAGTTTCGGCTAGCCGGCTATACTGCGCATGCTGTCATGCAATGCTGATGTTGTTAACATGAACAATTTGAGAACAATGTAGGCTATAATTTGCACGGTTGCTGTAAATCGCGTAGATTAAATCTAACGCTTATAACGTTGAATGCTTTTCCCCCCTTAGTTGATCAGAACAAAAGTGGATGTTACTTACTTGTTCAGAAGGCATTTTCCGGTGAAAATTCTCAATTGGTCAAACTTTCAACAAGTGAATCTGTAATTCTGTATGACAGTGTCCACACAGCGCGGTGATTGACAGCAGTACTCGCCTCAAAACACTGTTCATCCACGCTGTTTCATGCCGATTTACAACCCATGTAAAGACGATAATTCCACGAATAACTGCAATTGCAGATTTCGAACAGAGATGGTGACAAAGAGGAAAAGTTGCGGACTGCAGCTTTAGTTACTAGTAACTATTATTTTGTTACTTGTAACAAATTGAATTGTTTGCCATTGACTTTATATGGGGATCTGTCATTCAGATATCAACTATTTAGTTCTGACTATATGTATTCCAATTGTGACTAGTACATATTACTAGTTATTCATCATTAGGTACTAGTACTTATTTTTTAGATACTACCTTTTACTAGTACTACCTTTTATTCAATTGATAATAGTACTTAATTAATTACTAGTCATTAGATACCAGTACCTACAGTAGATAATAGTACTTATTCATTAGATAGTATGGCAGTACTTATTCATTAGATAGCCTACTCAATAGAATCTAATGAATAAGTACTAGTGTCTTTTTAATAGGTACTAGTAACTAATAAATAAGAACTAAAATGTTTAGTATAGTATCTAAAAAGACTCCTAAATGTTTAAAATATAAACCATGAATTGTTTCAGTTATATTTAGTCAGTGTAATACTTTAGACTGCCAACTTTTTTTTCTGATTAATTTGGAGTTGACAAAAAACAGTTGATAACATAAATCACAATAGAGATCAATTAAATTAAAAGTCAACAATTTGACTTTTTGACAGACAACAGAATGCTCAAGATAATGAATCAGATATTCTTAAAAGAGTCTTTTCATTCTTGGCTTTAATTAATATTCTATAAATACAGGAATCGGGAGTAGAAGAGCATTATGATCTCTCAAATAATGAGAAAGATTGTTTTTCTCTTCAAATATTGCTTAAATATTCAGTACACACAATTTGTAGTATTTAGTAATCTTTCTGGATGAGATATACTTAATGCAATTGATTTCTTATTAGGACAGTTGTTTTCTATTGGTTTAAATGTACAACTTCACAGACACTGAATAACATTTATGCAAACATCATATTTCAATGTTGAGACATCTATTCAATGTTCTAACATATAGTCAAAAACTGATTTTATGATTTTATGCATTTATCGTGCATGTGTTTGTTTTGTCATTGCTTTTATGATCATTAGATGTGTTTGTTAAAGAAAAGCAAAAAAATATATATTTCAAAGCAATCCTTTTTATAAAATGCAAGCTCATCAATACAAACTAATTTGAATCCTAAAGTAGCAATTTAACCCAACTCTAGCTGTAAAATGAACTGAGGCAGTGGGTGTGGCCATTGGGTCATGCAGTCATGCCTAATTTTTTGACTCCTCCTCCACATCATCATAGTCTGTTATTAAAGACAAAAGCAAATATATCATGTTTAATGTTGTATTTAACATCTAAAACCGAGCCTATTAAAATCAGCAAATGGTTACTCAAAGATTAAAAAAGAGACAAACACTTACCCAACAGGTTTCTGTAATCTTCATTGCTGTTCTTCACATCATCGTACTCCTCCTGATCTCCCTCTGATTCACATGTGAAATAAAACCTCACATTGTAATTTTTAATACAACTTGTGTCACTGATGATGTTATTGATCTCTTTCCCTCATGACTGTCTGAGGTTAGATTTACTCCTAAAAAAGTCATGATGATCCATTAATGGTAAACTGTAAACGGATATATTGTCCTGTAACTCACCCATTACACCTTGAGGTGCCTGTTCATTAATGATGACATCATCATAATTTTCTGGCATGTCAACTAAACACACACGCACACACCAATGTTGCATTTTACTGAGCATCAATTTAAAGGGACTGTGTTATTATATACATAAAACAATACATAAAACATGAAACACATAAAACAATAAATAAATAAAAAAGTGAAAACACCTTCTTTAATACTAGAGTTCTGATTCTGAACACTGGTGGTGACATCATCATAGCTCCCAGGTGTGTCTTCTAAAAAAATTAACATAAATAAAAAGTCATCACACTAAAACAAACTTCTATATATTTTCTTAATTGTAAATGAAATATTAATTAAATAGTTAATTTTTTATATATATATATATATATATATATATATATATATATATTATGTCTCACGTTTTGGTTTCAGTCCATCAGTAATGACATCATCATAGTAACCCGCGATTTCATTAGCCCTGTCTTCAAAAATCAAAACAGAATATTTTTAGGACTCAATGCTCTTGTTGACCATAAAGCCATTACATTTTGATCAATCAATGAATGATGCAAACAGTTTACAAGACTAAAGTTGGCCAATAACGTAATATCAGTGAAAGGATATTACACATACACATATCACACATTAAACCATACAAATTTATGATCCCCTACCTACCAAAACACCCACACATATTTATGTGTATGTTATGCACACATGTGTGTGTTCATTTTTTGGATTATACAACACTAACAAATTATTTAAATTACCGCACAAAAGGTCCCACAAATACGACTCAATGTGATTTACTCCACACACCTCTCTGAATATATTGATTTTCCTGTTGATCTCCACAAATCAGAAGCTATGACACTTACCCCCCTTTGTGAAGAAACTCTGTCTATTAATGGGCCTGTGATGAATCTCCTCATAAACGGCCTCAGTCGTCGTCTTGTGTCTCCTCTTAGAGAGATCTGTGTGTGTAGACAGACAAACCTGCTGTCAGTTCACAACACATGACTGATCACACACTGAATAAGACACACTATGACAGTCTCTGGATCTCTCCTACCTCTCCTCATCACTCTGTTCTGCTGAACCAGTATAAGCAGTGGCACTAAGAGCAGTACGAGCAAAACTCCCAGTACAACCACAAGCACAGAGAGAGACGCTGCTGGAGGAGTTTGTGGAGGAGTGACTGATGTTGAGCGCACTGTCTGAGAAACTGGACGAGAAGATGATGTTGTTGTGGCAGGAGTAGTGGACACTGACAAATCTGCTAAAACACACACAAACACATTCAAAATCATGAAAATAGACAAAGATTATTAGTATAAAATGATGACTACTATTGTTCAGTGTGTTGCTGTGACCTGCACATGTGAGTCCAGCGTGATCTTTGTGGGAACAGTCAGTGTGGTTCTTCAGGGAGTGAGGACAGTCCCACAGGTGAATCTCATTCCCTCTGCACTCGACTCTGTTCATCCACACAACACCTTCACCAGCACCAAAGACTGAATTCCCATCAGCCCTCAGTGCGTCTCCACAACCCAGCTGCCTGCAGACCACCTGAGCATCGCTGATGTCCCACAGATCAGCACAGACTGAACCCCACACAGTGTTATGATACACCTCCAGCCTCCCAGAGCACCGGCCCAAACCTCCACTCAGTCTGAGAGGAACATGATCTAAAACACACACAGCAACATCACTGATCAGCTTTAGGACACCATTTACAACAAAACACACACTTACACAAATTGGATCTTGAGGTCTTTAAAACTGTGACATAAAAATAATTTAGTGCAGAAACCCTTCTGAAAAATATAGCAGAAGCCTTCAGGCACTCCATGTTGGTCCAGGCTGGTTTATGCTAACCATAGGAACAAGAATCCCAAATTGCCAAAAAAAACATTCTTTGTGCTGGTGACCAGCAATGCTTTATTTTTCAATATAAATTACATGAAAAAAGAGAAAAAAGAAAATACAAGCATATCATAAACATACTTGAACACTGTCTCTGGTGAGGAGATGGTGAAGTAGAACATGTGCGACGACTCTGAGGAGACTCGGGATCCTCGTCTGAGATTAAAACATTTTAAATTTGACCATTTCACCATTGATACGAACATTAGAAAGCATTAAAAGAAAAAGAAAAACACCTTTTTTAAGAATAACAGAATGACACTGGTGTCATATCTATATGTAAAATATGAATATATCTAAAATAAAAAATATGCACATATGACCATCTTTAATCAGATCAATAATTTTACCTAAGCAGGTGATTTTGGCCACTTCATTATTACAGTCATTCTGTCCCCAGGGTGAAGATGGACACTGCCATAGAGTGGAATCATGACGTCGGCATTTAATATAATCCAGCCAGTTATGAGACTTCAGTCCCTCTGAATAATCGGGTTCACTGCCAGATCTTCCACAGTTCAGCTCTTGACAGATCAGACTCGCTGTGTCTCTGTCCATCTTGTTGTAACACACATTACCCCAGGATCCATTGTAGAAAACCTCCACATTCCCTTCACAGCCCTCAGTTAACCTGATCTCTTTAAACTCTAGAAGAAAAAGGATGAGAATCAATCTCAACTTTCTGTTTATTAGGAATGGGAATAATTAACATTTTGTGTGTATGTGGGTGTTTAATTTGGAAAAAAGAAATTCCATTAACAAGTGATGAGATGATGTCAATAATAAAAAAGTAAAACAAATTTTCACTCATGTTCAGAGGATTTAAAAAAAAAATCTATATATTTTTAATGAAAGATGAAACTGCATCTGAATAAGAATCACTTCTCAGTTGATTAACACTGCTCAATGTAATGCGCAATGCAAAAACGTTTGATACCTCTAACTATCAGTCCCATATGCAAATTATTGAAATGTTATTGTTGAAATTATTGTTCAGTGTTCACCTGAGCACACGACTCCTACATCCTCCTTGTGTTGACAGTCATGTTTCCCCCAGCCTGGAGAAGAGCAGTTCCACAGGGACGTCTCATTCCCCTCACACTCCACCTCATCCAGCCATATGTGTCCAGAACCAGGACCAAACCAGGCTGGTACCTGCTGGTTACTGAGGGCCACTCCACACTGCAGCTGTCTGCACACCACATGGGCATCTTTAATATCCCAGGAGTCATCACACACTGTCCCCCATGAGCCGCTGTGAAAAACCTCCAGCCTCCCTGCACAGTCTCCCCCAGAACCCACCAGCCTGATGGACCCGCGGCCTGATATTCAGAGAGAGAAAAACACATTATTGATCACCAACAACTGAAGAATCTGCCCAGATGTTGTTGTGCTCACCAAGGCAGGAGATTGACAGCTGTTGTGTGGAGCTGCAGTTGAGAGTTTGTGGAGAGCTGCAGTTCCCCAGATGAGCTTCACTCCCAGAGCACTGGAAGCCCGTCACACACTCATGACTGTGTTCAGGACTGGATGAAGAGGAGCCGGAGAAGTTCAGCACAGAGCCACAGCCCAGCTGTCTGCAGACCACAGAGGATTCAGTGAGACTCCAGGAGTCCAGCAGAACTCTCCTCCAGACCTGATGGATGGAAACTTCCAGCTCCCCCTCACACTGTCTCTCTCCAGACAACCGCACCAGACCGTCATGAACAGACAGAGAGGAATCTAGAGAGATGATCTTATGTTTTATTTGCAAGTTTGGTAATGTGATTTACATTAATAATACATTTATACATGAGAACTGAAGAGAACTGAAATATAGCATTTATAGGTATATAATTGAGTCTTTCAAGAGCAAGAAATCAATGAAGTCTTCTAGTAATATGGACTCACTAGAGCAGATCACTCCAAAATGCTTTTGGACCATTGACCAGTCTGACGTCAGTGTAACCTGGACAAAGAACAGAGAGCTTACTGAAACTGATCAAACAAAAAGAAACCAATCAAACGATAATTACATTTTAGTTAACAATTTGATTTCTCTATTGAAATGATGAACATTGACATTTTACCAGAACATATCAGTCCTATATCATTGTCATGAGTGCAGTTTGTGTTATTTGAGGTTGATGATGGACAGAGTCGAATGTGTGATTCATTTCCTCTGCACTGAATCTCTTTTGATCCAATCGGACCATTTCCTTTTCCAAAAGCATCTTCTCCCAGCACCTGTACAGGAGCCCCACAGTCCAGCTCTCGACACACAACCTCTGCATCCTGCTGGTCAAAGGCAGCGTCACACACTGAACCCCAGCCTCCTACAAGAAGCATCTCCACTCTTCCAGAACACAGGTGAGACCCGTCCACAAGTCTTGACATTCCGTAGTTTATTGTTTCTGAATATATTTACACAAAGAGAAGATAATCTGACACAATGATTATGATATGAAAATAAAACAGAAGTCCTTTCATTAGTAATATATTTTATAAATAGATAAAATTGAGTTGTTAAGACAATAAAAGGGACTATTCATCAATTAGCTGCGTATGATTTGCTCTAACAAAAATACATAAAATTATTTAAAATGTCTTATAAGATGTTTATCAATGAAAGTCTGATCAGTGATGCATTAACAGAGTGATGTATGGAGCCGCTCACCAGTGCATCTGACTCCAGCATCTTCATGATGACCACAGTTATGAACACCCCATCCGTCTGATCCACAGTTCTTCAGTGTTGACTCTGATCCACTACAGCTCACATCATCCATCCAGATTGGTCCTGATCCTCGTCCAAAGCGAGCACTACACACAGCCTCTACAGCCTCTCCACATCCTATCTCTCTACACACCACTGCAGCATCAGCCACATCCCAGATATCATCACACACTGTTCCCCACAGACCTCTATGAAGAACCTCCACTCTACCAGCACACGGACTGTTCCCACCAACCAACCTCACAGTCTCAAAATCTGTACATGAAAGAGGATTGAATCATCCAAAGTCAAGAAACATAAGATGTAAAAGTTAAATATACATTTAACATTTTAAAGCTGGGCACGAGTGTATAACAAATTGGTTTCCTGTAAAAGCTCAAATCATTTTTAAAATGTAATTGATAATTAATGATATAGTGTCACAAGATCTTTAGTTTCTAGATATTACAAATGCTTCTATTTATAATGTTCTGCTTCAGTTTCTAGTGGTCTAATGCCATCATAGACAAACTGCTTATTTAAAAGTAATATTTTACATCTTAAGTTTATTTTGTACTTACCAGATGTGTTTATAGTGACTATAGAGGAGAGTAAAACGAGTGTCAGAAATCCCTCCATCTTCTTCTGCTCGTCACACTGTTTGTTTGACTCTGTTTCTCCTCTGCTCCCTCACACACACACACACACACACACACACACACACACACACACACACACACACACACACACACACACACACACACACACACACTGAAGAAACTGGCTCCTGTCAGTCCCCTAAAGAGAGAGAGACTCTCACAGCTGCCAATGACACTCACTGTTACCTTATTAGACACAACAGAGGAAATCATCAAACATAATCACTGACAAATCACAAAGCAGCATTTTTATTTTCTCCATATATATCAATAAAGTGTGAGCGCTGATGAGCGGGACTCCTCCTCCAGTGTGAAGAGACACTTCACTGAGGACAGACTCGTGTCAGTCATGTGTCAGCGTGGAGAGAAAGTCACACTAAACTTACAGGAGATGGATAGAGAAACACTGCAGGTTATATTCAGCATCAAAGCCTGTATACACACACAACTTACACACCTAATGACTGACTGCTCACTACTGAAGCTTCAGTTCACACACAAAATACTTGATCTTTGTTATAAATACATAAATCATATTAAACTTTAAATTTTAAAGTTGATTTTTGATCAAATGTGTATAATATCAAGTGTATTTTACTATACTGTTATTATGTTCTAACCAATAGCACACTTAACAGTAGTTAATAAATTATTAAATAAACTGGAATGGTTGTGTGCAATAAACAGACAAGTTTCTTTATCACATCTGTAAATAAACATTGCTTTCTTTTCCACCTATATTCATATGCCTTAATATTCAACACATTTGTGGCTGTTTAATATTGCAATGCATAATTCCTCCAGCAGAGGACAGCAAAACACTCATTATAAAGAAGCAGAAAAGAGTCTGGTGGTCCATGTTAGAGCTTTTCATAGCTACATTTTTATTGGCAGAACATGTAAATTACTTTGTTTACAACTACTATTTTAATTTATTCAGCAAAACTGGTAAACTGTGTATTAAATACAGATAAATATATTCTACCTACACTTTTAATGTTTTAAACAAATGCTCGAGGTCTCTTGAATCTCCAGCTATGGTTGTTTGAAGGAATGGGTGATTTTTTTTTTTTTTTTTAAATATACAAAGATTAAAAAATTAATTAACCCATTTTTATTCTATAGCCGTTGTTAGAGCCATTATTTTGAATTATATTTTTCGTTTGTGACACTAGAGGGCGGATGAGTATTTTGATAAGGTGATGAGTTACAGGTGCGCTGGAAGGTCAACACACTTTTTGACCGTGGCTTGGTGAGAGTTGGATTGCTCATGCCTAACAGTATGTTTTGAATCAGATATTTTAATGAAATGAAATTTCTTTTTTTATGAAAGTTGATGTGTAATTAAAGCAATTTTACAGTGTAACTTTCTGTAATTATAGTGTACCTATAAAGTACTTACTATATAAGTATAAGGAAACAATATTTTAAGTTTGGGAATATAGCGGTATAACAAACAGGAGAATTAATATATATGTATATATATATATATATATATATATATATATATATATATATATATATATATATATATATATATATATATAATATTATAGAACTAAGGGGTACTTATTAGCAATTTAGCAAGAACATACACTGCATACCTTTTTGAAATAATTGTGTACCAATACATACTGTATAAGCTTTTAAAAAATTACAGGGTACATATCTATGCATTTATAAATAATCTTTTCAACAAAAGTGCACTGTAAATGAAAACTATTGCAACTTTTGCTTAAATATTCGGGAAAGATAGGCTACTCTTGTTTCATGTTTGTTACCCCCTTGTTCTAGTAGTTAGTTACAGGGTATAGTGTGGCATTGCGGGCTGTAAATTGAAGTGGTGTTTGTTACCCTCTTGTTCCATGTAGTTACAGGGTAAGTACAATAAAAATGCATACACTCTAATATCTAATATCTAATATCTAATATCTAATATCATTGACTCGGAAACCTTAATTTATTACACAAGCACCACTTACCCTGTAACCACATGAAACAAGATATTTTCCAGTATTTAATAAAATTGCAATAGTCTTATCTTTTCTGGCCTTGAAACATGTTAGCCCAAACGTAAACATCGATCCAAAAAAAAGTATAAATGCATAGATATGTACCCTGTGATTTGAAAAAAAAAAACCTATACAGTAGCCTATGTATTGGTAGTACACAATTATTACAAAAAGGTACGCAGTGTATGTTAAATTGCTCCCAAATGTAAGATTGTTTTACCATAATAGTAGATAAGTACCCCTTAGTTCTATAATACATACAGTATAAATAGTTTTTTTTTTTAATTCTCCTGGTTGTCACCGCTTTATTCCCCAAACTATACATACTCAGTCCTTCCAGAAAAACGCGGAGTTTTTTTGTGATTGTTGCGGGCAAAAATCCTTGATTACGCGGCCCGTTTTCTTTAAAAATGCGATGGAATATGCGGGATATTTATGCAATTTTATGCGATGAAATTGCGGGAACTTGCAAAAATTGCGGGAACTTGCAAAAATTGCGGGAACTTGCAAAAACTGCGGTTTGATGAAAAAGAGAAAAAAAGTGATTCCCCCAACATCCTGTTCTCGCTACCCTATCTCACGACCAATTCGTACGAATTTGTACGAGTGATTAAAAAGTGGCTAATTCGTACTAATTCGTACGACCTCACTCGTGCGAATTCATACGATTTGTCTAAACCCACGTGACGGTTATGTTTAGGGGCGGGGTCAGGGGTAGGTCATTCGTACGAATTCATACGAATTGGCCAATTCGTAAAATATGTACGATTTAGCAAAAATCGTACTAATTTGTACGACTGAGGTCGTATGAATTGTTACGAATTAGCCACCTCGTAAAATTCGTACGAATTCCCGTGAGATCGGGTTGGTTCTCACTAGGCTACTACCTTAATGTAAAGAGTCATTTCTTATTACTTTCTATGATGTAGCAAGCATATACACTACTACATAGTGCTGGGAATATTTAATTTCTCATCTTGTTTTATTTTTATTAAATTTTCAAAATCACAGAGTTTGATATCAAGTTCTTGACATTTCTTTTACACATTTTCTGATAAGTATAACATCTGAGAAGTAGCCTAAAACATGAAACAATAATTTGAAAAAAAAAAAAAAAAAAAAAAGATAGAGGGCATCACAGACATATTAAATTCATTTAGCAGAGATACAGATCTTTTGGGCTTTTCGATTTTTTTTTTTTAAATTTTAAAGACTCAAAATACATTTTAAAGGCTGTTTTGAAATGAGCAAAGTTGGGTTTTGAGTTAGGCCATTGCACACCGAGCACGAAATATTCGTATGCGTATTTTCGTGTTCGTCAGCTTAAAAATTCGTCACGCATAGAAACCTTGCACACCGAGTCCGTTGCGTATTTCTTAAACCTTTGCGGGAAAAAACGCAAAAATACCAAATGGATTCGTCAAGCAGTGAGGATGATTTTTGCCCTCTCTCTTATTGAAAAGGGAAGAAAGAGAAAATATTACGTCCATCCAATCCTGAAATTGCGCCGAGAGGAAGGAGAGTTCCTTATAAAGGAGTTGCGAATTTATCCTGAGCGATTCAAAATTTACCTCAGAATGTCAGTGGGACAGTTCGATGCTTTGCTAGCGATTCTGGAGCCACATATTAAAAACAAGACCACCGATTTCCGTGAACCAATCGATTCTGAACGGAGACTGGCAGTGTGTCTGAAATGGACCAGGTATGGACACACACACACGGACAAACACACACCCGCGCGCGGCCCGTTGGAAGCGCTGGGCAGACAGAACAGCTAGGCTGTTATTGTGTATTTTGCCCAAATAATACATTAGTTATCGAATAGGCTGCTCAATCACACCTTATTCGATCCTAAATTTCAATCTGATTGAAAGGGGAGGTTTATTAATTTCATAATCCAATATAGAGAAGAGAACATAAACACTTGATCGAATTGAAAACCGAAACTGAAAGCACGGCGCATATGTGCATGAGGACGAGCTCCCCCGGCCCTGAATTGTCAAAAGACCTCTCAAAATGCTGGCTCTGGATGCGAAAAACGCAGAAAATCGAACCCGATCCGATTAATTTTATGACGGACGAAAGTTTCGGAGGCGGTGTGCAAGCGTGACTGACATAACGTGAGGTCGAATTTTTTTTTTTACGTGCGAAAATTTCGGATGCGAATTTCGGACTCGGTGTGCAATGGCCTTTATGGCTACTCCACTTAGTTTGATGAATATGAAATTTTCCTAATAATAGAAAAAATCGATAACATACATTTTTCTTATAGGAAAGTCAAAATCATTTGTAGGCTATGAAGATGACAAATTTAAGACAAGGTTGCAATTCATTTTAAAACCTAGAAATTGAGACATCTCATTCCAAAAGATTGAAAAATAGGGACATTCAAACAATAAGTGCACAATAGACTCTCTTTCACAATTACAAAATCAGCAATGTTTTATTTCAGACTGTAACGAGTGTAAATAAGGTGTGGCCCCTTTAAGAGCTGCGCGCTGAACTGTCTGCAGTGTGTGCGCCTCAAACACCCCATGTCGTGTGCGGGTAATTTCTGTTTGATGCTTATTCTTTTATCTTATTTTGTTTATTAAGTAACGATGTGATGGTAGAACGTGTGACAGACAGTTATACGAGTTCGATTTGTGAGATGTCAATCGCCTCCGTGAGTCTTTCTGGCCTCTGCAATAACTTCAGCTGTGAGCTATCCCGTCGCGTAATGGGCTCTATGCACGGCAGTATTTCCGGTGAAGCATTAGGGATGCTCGATAACTTCCGCCGATCGTAGAGTCCAATGCAATGCCGAGAATTTATATTGAATTTTATACTCCATGGTTATACTAAAGAAACGTTAGTCACAAAAACAGATAAAACAGACACCCCTCGTTGTGTTTATGCTTCTTTTTAAAATTATATTAAATAAATATAACTATATATAAAATTACATCTAAACGTATGTACGTTTCATTTCAAAGACTGGAGGACAGTAAATATTGAAGACTCTGCCATAATCCCGTTTTCCTCGGTTTTCCTCCGCTTTAATCTCCACAACCGGAAATGGACGAGCATCCTTGCGTCAAATGCGGAATTTATGCGTGCATATAGCCCATTGCGTCACTTCATAACGTTCCCATGGAAACCGGAGGAAATGGCTGCTCTTGTATGAAGCAAACGCAACATTTTTCAACTTTCTGCGAAGATATATGTGACTTTTTTTTGCAACGAAAATACGAGGATTATGAAATCATGCAAGCCCCGCATATTTTGCGTGGAAATCGGCATTTTATGCGGCGAAAGTGCGGCTTATTCGAAAAAATGCGGCCCCCGCATAAATATGCGGGCTGATTTTGCATTGAATTCAGCGATCGCATAATCGCGTTTTTCTGGAGGGACTGCATACTGTTCCCTTACTTCCCTTACTTACAATCTACTTCCAGTCTCTGAGTTTGGTCAATACTCCTGTTGACAAATGGTGTTTTGCTTCACCCAATAAAATTAATAAATAAATTAATCAAAAATAAATTAATCTGATCTTGTACTCGCTAAATTCCACATTCATATAAATATCTTGCTAAACCTCTTTTTTGATTTTTGAAAGAACTTAACAAATACATCCTTTACAATAAAATGCTCTCAGACCAAAATGTTTTCAGTGTCATGTGATTCTCATAATCCCCCACCCCCCTCCTCATATTGAGGTAAATAGTTTACTCTTTCCATTAGATAAGAAGAAAAGATGGAATATATTCATAAGTTTACCTTGTCTTAATGAATGTAATGTCCTGTAAACATATTCAGCACCCTTTAAATTATTTGGCAAATGATTGATGCATGTTTTATTATGCCTGTCTGAGTAAATTCATTTTTGAAAGAGTTGAAAAGTTGTTAAAAAAAAACAAAAAAAGAATGTTCAGTCCAACCTCAGCCTGCACAAGAAGCTAATGCAAAATATTCACTATAAACCACAAAATAAGACTAAAAAACTGTTTCAAATTATTTAATGTATTTTAAATTTAAAATGGAACATTTCATAATAAACTGTGCAGTTGAGATCGGCGTTTCAATGTGTTTTTTAAAACAATTTTTTATTGATTTTTTTATTGTTTTTATTTTTATTGATGACCAAAATTATATTCACAATTATATTAGCATACCTTTTTGTTGTCATCGCTCAAAATTTAATTTCAATTGCATTGGGAATTGTCATAGTGCTGTCAACTGCCTAAAATACTGTAATTTGCCTAAAAAATACATTTACCTTTTGTCCAATATCCTCCAAATGCTCTTTAAAACAATATTAATTAATAAAGTTCATAAAAATTAATGAATTGATTAAAAAACATATCTTTTGAGTATGCACTGATATCAAAATAAAAATAACAGGCCAAATACTGAAGACTGAATATTTCTAATGCAAGGCACTGATGCATTAGAAACAACATAATAATCTCCCAGTGCTCCAGTTACTGTAATATGATTTGACGAACATGAAGTGGGTGTGGTCAATACGTGACATGGCTCCTCCCTCTTTATTTGACCCCTTCCTCACATCATGATAATCTATTTTTAAAAACAAAAGCAAATTCATATTTTTCATTGTGATAAATGCATCAATATTTTGTTTAATAAGCAACATAACCAATAAAAACAGATATAGGTTATAGAAATATTACAATAACCTACCCTACAGGTTTCTGTTCTCTTCATTGCTGTTCTTCACATCACCGTACTCCTCCTGATCTCCCTCTGATTCACATGAGAAATAAAACCATTATAATTATAAAATAATTATAAAACCATAATACATTATAATTTGTAAATCAGCTTATGTCACAGATGATGTGTTTGATTTCTTTCACCTCATGACTGTCTGAGATTATTAGATTTACTCCTGATAAACTCAGGATTCATTAATGGAATAAATGCATGTGACTCACCTGTGACATCTATAGCATTCTGTCCAATAATAATGACATCATCATAATCCTCTGGTGTGTCCACTGCACATACATGAAGATATAAACAGGACAAATGTTACTTCATCATATATGTATCATGTTAAAGGTATTTTTGTTAATAGTTTGAGTAAATCAGTCACATTTGTGAAGAAAGTGAACTCCACCCAATCTACAACACAGAGCTGAAGGCACTAAACCAAAAGCAAAACATTTAAAGCCACTCAAGGTTTAACCAAATAATTATATTCTCGAATTCAATAACATTTCTGTTCTGCTCTCCAGGTCTTTGTGCAATGTTATTAAACCCAGGCCAGGAGTGATTTTCTCGTTTCTATGCACTTTTCTTTGCATTTCGGGATTAAACTCAACAGCCTTGGAAATCTCTGCAGTCATGACACTGTTCACTTCTGATTCGCCATTTCTTCTCATTTTTGGTCTTGTGAATCAAAACAAGCAGTCAGAGAAGTGATGGCTTACAGCGATTGGCATTGGTGAAGTCAATGTTATTTATTTTTTATTTTTGGAGGTTTGAGCTGAACTGAGACGAATATCTACGTTTCATTGTTAGTTCGGCTGTACCTTCATCTCAAGAGCCGCCTGACACATCCGCATATATTTTCTGTAGCCATCTTCTCATATTTGCCACAAAAGCACTTGTATGACAAGTAATGTAAACATGACGCAACAGGTCCCTCGCATAAATGTAATTTCGCTTGTACGTAGCAAACTTGATCACAGTATGTGTTTGTAGTTTCAAAAAATTGCACCAACGTTAGTGTTTGTGTGTGTCTCTGTGTGTGTTTTGCACGTCCATAATTGCAAAGGGGACGCGATTACAACTCTATAAACATAAATGTATCAAATAACCATTCTGGTCCATTCTCATTTGTGTTTATTCTGCCGGAGTCTCTTCGTCATCTGGGTCTGATCAGAGATTTATATATTCCGATTCAAACATGTACGGCTGAACGACATACAAAACAATGGGTCTCTCACTCTCAACCATTCTGCTTTAGGGTGACCACCATCAAACAAACCAAATGTGGGACGATTACTACGTTTGTGTGGAACAATGTGGGACATGTTACCAACACTAAAGCATAACCTGAAACTGTTATATAATGTCTATATAACGTAATAAAAACATTCTGCCTTTCAGCTGATAAAAATACTTTGTTCTTTAGTCTCTTCCAGAAAACACCATTACATCACAACATGTCTTCATTGGGAATTTATATATATATATATATATATATATATATATATATATCTCACTATTAATCACCTTTGTCTTAATAAACTACTATCTGCTTATTAATAGTTAGTAAGGTAGGTTTTTTTTTTTTTTTCATAGGTCTGTCCACTGGTACTGACATCATCATAGCCCTCTGGTGTGTCATCTACAAGTTGAATAAACTTGAATGTATATATTAATTTGTACAGTGTATACTAACAGAGAGAACTACAACTAGAGTATAGTGAAGCCGCACCTGTCTCACAAACTGGTTTTTGAACATGGATGATGATTTCCTCATAGTATCCGGGTGTGTTTGCATTCCCCCTGTCTTCAACATCAGAACAAAATATGAATATAAAATAATAAAGATATTTGCAGAATTAAAATGCTTTATGATTTTAATCATGTGGTAATGAAATTACAAGTTTACAAAGCGTGTGATATTGCTATTCAAAACATCAGAGTCTATTATCTTCAGTAGTGCTAAGCATTGTATATTGGGGTGCACAGTACACTTACAGGTCAAACAGGAATGTGTGAATTTGACTATACATTTTTCCTTTTTTTTTTTTTTTTTTTTTTTACAGTTTGCATATCACTTCTAACCTAAGACCCCATTTACACCTGGTATTAAAATGCGATCTGTATCCATATAAGTTATCCGGATAATACGTCTGGTCTTACCGATTCCATACACCTGGCCACATAAACGTGTTTTTGCAAAACGGATATAAATCCGATCTTCAACTCCCGCGTTATATGCAGATTTAATGGATTGCACGCCACCAAAAGCAACAGATAGGCTATGAGCTGCATTTTATTGATCATCAGCTAATTTCAAAATCAAAGACATCAATAAAAGAGAGTGGCAACAGCACTGGTAAGATCATTTCGTTTCTTTGCTTGAAGATGATTGTGTGTTAAGCGTCTGTGACTTTCACTTTTATTTGTGATGTTTGCACGTTGGCTTGATGAATAGACGCTCAGCTGCTCATCTGCGGTGATGGCCTAGGCCTAGCACCGTCATATCTGACTATAACATGACAGAGGGCCTATAGCCTAGCCTATATAACACGCTCTCACTCGTTTGTTTTTTAGCATTTTTGGGAGGAGTAAAATATACGCGATTTCAACAACCAGATTGCGTTTACACCTAGTAAAGATCCGAACACAATGCGAGCCAGACTACCTCCAGATGTGGTCAGGCAGATCACAATCCGATCACAACCTTGCATTAACATGCATTTTTTTATTATCCGGATAATTTATCTGGATACTGATCGCATTTTAATACCAGGTGTAAATGGGGTCTAAGAGAAGCGAATCAACATCTTCATTCCCAGAATTCAGTTCTTCAGAGACGAGACTCCCTCCTGTTAACCCTCTGGGGTTGTTTGGCCCAAATTGACCCGAAGAATTAAAATTTTTATTTATTTTTTTTAAATCACAGCTTCCTCGGAATGGTCCGAAATTTGGTGACTTTGTTGGTATTTGAACACCTAAAAAAATTGGGGACAGGATGTGAGAAGTCTAAGTGGTTGTAAAAAAAAATAGTCACACTTGGGGTGTTCGGGTCCAAATGGACCCGCATGGAAAATTAATGGGAAGTTGGCAAAAATATAAAATATATAATATATAAATACTGAGTTTTTTGTGCGTACAATCTACAAATCAGCCACGATCTTGAAAAAAACCACACAACAGTGAAGGGGTGAATCTATAAAACATAAAGAGTGCAAAACAGACATATCCAGACACACACACAGACACACACAAACACACCAAAAAATTCAGATTATAAATGTGTTTTGCATTTTTAAAATGCTCAGTTTGTCCACCAGATGGCATCCATCTCATTTCAAAAATTGCTTTTATGAGGCCTAGGCTTGACTCTAAAATGAATTACAGCTTTAAAAAAATAAAATAAATAAATAAATATTTTTTTAAATATTTTTTCTATTATGCTCAATGGGGGGAAATTTTGTCATAATTATTGCATTAATACTAATTATATATTTTTTTATTTTTGAAAATTTCTCAAAACACCAAAAAAGAAAAGAAAAAATATTATAAAAAAACAAGTAAACTAAAATATGAATCCCGCCCTTTGGGTTTATTTGGATCCGAACACCCCGAGTGTAACTCTGAAATGAACAGCCCCAGAGGGTTAACAGAGAGCAAAACAGAAACAGACTGAATCCTCAAATCCTTTGGGTCATAACGCTCAGTGTTAGTGAGAGCAAGAAAATATAAATTATTTTTTTTTTTTGGGGGGGGGGGGGGGGGGCATCTTTTTTTTATTTTTTATCTTCTTAATAATTTTATAAAAACATACACCTGCAATTCTGTTTTTATTTTTATTTTTTATGGATTGATACATAATTAAAACTAATTAGCTAGATGTGAATGATAGTGATAGAATGATAGTGATAGAATGATGATTAATTCTACAATGGATCTGACCGGTATCACTGATGTCTCTTGCTAATGAATGGCTAATTAATATTAATTACTGACAAAACTTTAACACAGATGACTGAGATTTTTGCTTGATGGCGTTCATTTTCTCAGCAAGGTTTTCACAATAATCTAAAAACAAATTAGTTGCAATTCAATTAATCAAATATGGCCTGCGAAGTGAACTTCATTGGGTATTACTCTGTCTGAAGTGACATTTCATTTCAAATGGAGCAAATATGTTCAAATATGTTCATTTCAAATACAAAAGGGAATAAGGGTTCATCAACTTCACTTCACAGGAAGTGGAGAGGGAAATTTCCACCTCACCACCAAAGTACTTGATGTTTGATTGAAAGAAAAACTAGATAATTAATACATTTAATCAGTCCCAGTTGAGGTTTGTACGTGACTGTTCATTGGTAGAATGTGCTCAAGAGGCAACAGTTACAATAGAAAGATGAGAAGTGAACACTTTTTAGGGACCCTTTGATCAGAATGCAGCAGTTTAAGTTTTGAACAATCTCTGATGATGCCTCACCTGTATGAGTGACTTGATTGTGTCTGTGATCAATTTCCTCATAAACTTCCTCACTCGGAGCCCTATGTAGTCCTGTGTACCAGTCAGAGAGAGCTGTGTGTGTGGACAGACAAACCTGCTGTCAGTTCACAACACATGACTGATCACACACTGAATAAGACACACTATGACAGTCTCTGGATCTCTCCTACCTCTCCTCATCACTCTGTTCTGCTGAACCAGTATAAGCAGTGGCACTAAGAGCAGGACGAGCAAAACTCCCAGTACAACCACAAGCACAGAGAGAGACACTGCTGGAGGAGTTTGTGGAGGAGTGACTGATGTTGAGCGCACTGTCTGAGAAACTGGACGAGAAGATGATGTTGTTGTGGCAGGAGTAGTGGACACTGACAAATCTGACAAAACACACACAAACACATTCAAAATCATGCAAATAGACAAAGATTATTAGTATAAAATGATGACTCCTATTGTTCAGTGTGTTGCTGTGACCTGCACATGTGAGTCCAGCGTGATCTTTGAGGGAACAGTCAGTGTGGTTCTTCAGGGAGTGAGGACAGTCCCACAGGTGAATCTCATTCCCTCTGCACTCGACTCTGTTTATCCACACAACACCTTCACCAGCACCAAACACTGAATTCCCATCAGCCGTCAGTGCGTCTCCACAACCCAGCTGCCTGCAGACCACCTGAGCATCGCTGATGTCCCACAGATCAGCACAGACTGAACCCCACACAGCGTTATGATACACCTCCAGCCTACCAGAGCACCGGCCCAAACCTCCACTCAGTCTGAGAGGAACATGATCTAAAACACACACATCAACATCACTGACTAGCAATTTACAATGCATTTTATAACTATTTAAAGTTGTGAAAAATTATGAATGTGGATTCAGTGTTCAAGTGCACAGAAACAAATACTGTTAATAAAGAAAATACATTCTTTTAATTATCTTACTTGAACACTGTCTCTGGTGAGGAGATTCTGAGGTGGAACATGTGAGATGACTCCGAGGAGACTCACGAGTCTGCTCCTCTAAAATGACAATGTTAAAATACTGAATAGAAAAATAAAAATAAATAAAAATTCAATACTGAATAGAAAAATGATAAATAATAATAATAATACTTTTACGTTCTACATGTTTTTTTTCAGTTTGAATTTTTTTCTCTTTTACTGAAACAAATATGACGTTTTCCAACTTTCTTACATCAGTTAAATATGATCTTACCTGAGCAGGTGATTTTGGCCACTTCATTATCACAGTCAGTCAGTCCCCAGGGTGAAGATGGACACTGCCATAGAGAGGAATCATGACGTCGACATTTAAAACAATCCAGCCAGTTACGAGACTTCAGTCCCACTGAATCACTGGGTTCACTGCCAGATCTTCCACAGTTCAGCTCTTGACAGATCAGACTCGCTGTGTCTCTGTCCATCTGGTTCCAGCACACATTACCCCAGGATCCATTGTAGAAAACCTCCACATTCCCTTCACAGCCCTCAGTTAACCTGATCTCTTTAAACTCTAGATGGAAAAGGATAAAATTCTGAATTAATGCATTAAAACATAGCTGTTTAATGTCTAATCACTGTCTTTTAAGAAGAAGGCATACAGTGAAATAATTGGTCTCAACTTTACATTTATGAAATAGAGGACACTAAAACCAAAAACGTGTAAACAAATTTCATTCATTAGTATAAATATATAAAAGACTACTTTTGTTTTTAAATCGCTTGCACAAAATTTCAGAAACTTTGGCTCTTAATTTTTTTAAACTCTACACTAAACCACAAAACATGCACACAAGATCCAAAACATTCATTTAAACTTCATTTAAATCTATATTACATTTTTTTAAATTATTGTTTACACAATTACTATTTAAGGCTCATTTAGCGTAACCATTCACTCATATACCTAATCTTCAGACCAAGTCTGCAAAACTGCAAGCAGTCAATGTGAAAATGTAAAACACTGAGTCTATTGTCTCTTTTGCTTGTTCAGTGTGCAGTGGAGTGTACAGGAGTTTCTCACACTTACATGTATGTGCAAAAATACTGTATACAGGATGACTGCACACTTGATAAACTTTGAAGTTATTGAACTGAACTGACTTGAGCTGAATAGTGACACCATTAGCTCGATAGAGGAAATTTACAGTAGAATTTGAATTTGTTATAATCTGTATTATATAAAGCGCTACAGAAATAAATGTGAATTAACTTATTTAGTATATTAAAAAAAACAGAAATCCAAGGGACAAAAGTGTATTTGTTTCTCAAAAATTGAGTTTTGATTTCTAAGTGATCAAATTAGGTATGTTTAAACTTTGTCATATGAGCATCCAGTCAGTAGTTGTAAAAAGTATGCTTTTCATTCACTCAAAAGAACCAAATCACTGGAGTATTTGTTCGGAAATCAAACTACATCTGTCGCACTGTGTGTTTTACGAGTTCACACTTACAAATGATTAGCCAGAGTATCAGTATTTGGCGTGATGTGCGAGGGAGAGCTCCAAACTCAGAATATAGACCGAACCCAGGGTTACACTGCCCACCAACCCCCATCATCAAGATATTATTTAACTGTTCACCTGAGCACACGACTCCTACATCATCCTTGTGTTGACAGTCATGTTTCCCCCAGCCTGAAGAAGAGCAGTTCCACAGGGACGTCTCATTCCCCTCACACTCCACCTCATCCAGCCATATGTGTCCAGAACCAGGACCAAACCAGGCTGGTACCTGCTGGTTACTGAGGGCCACTCCACACTGCAGCTGTCTGCACACCACATGGGCATCTTTAATATCCCAGGAGTCATCACACACTGTCCCCCATGAGCCGCTGTGAAAAACCTCCAGCCTCCCTGCACAGTCTCCCCCAGAACCCACCAGCCTGATGGACCCGCGGCCTGATATTCAGAGAGAGAAAAACACATTATTGATCACCAACAACTGAAGAATCTGCCCAGATGTTGTTGTGCTCACCAAGGCAGGAGATTGACAGCTGTTGTGTGGAGCTGCAGTTGAGAGTTTGTGGAGAGCTGCAGTTCCCCAGATGAGCTTCACTCCCAGAGCACTGGAAGCCCGTCACACACTCATGACTGTGTTCAGGACTGGATGAAGAGGAGCCGGAGAAGTTCAGCACAGAGCCACAGCCCAGCTGTCTGCAGACCACAGAGGATTCAGTGAGACTCCAGGAGTCCAGCAGAACTCTCCTCCAGACCTGATGGATGGAAACTTCCAGCTCCCCCTCACACTGTCTCTCTCCAGACAACCGCACCAGACCGTCATGAACAGACAGAGAGGAATCTGAGGGAAATATGTCATTTTATCAAGATATTGCAAGATTTATACGGTTGCTTTGCATTGTAAATCAGGTTTATTGACAAAATGTACACACTTTCAGCTGATCGTAATGAACAAATCAAACAAAAGTTATTGAGATAACTCAACACAAAAAAAAATGTTTATAGAAAAGGGATCTCATTGAGGGGTTGAATCATTTTGAAACTGCAGAAGTCCACTTGAAACATTTGTTGTGTTGAGCTGTTTCAATTACTTTTGTTTGATTTGTTCACTGCAACCATCTGAAAGTTAATAAATTCTGCCAATAAACCTGATTTGCAATGGGGGTTAAATAATTTCAATTGCAAATGTAGGTAATTTAAATTTTTTTTTTCAACAAAATTCCCTCACCAGAGCAAATGACTCCAACATCTCGTCCATGAGAACATTCAGCTCGACTCCATGAAGAGACGGAACATTCTGAGAGTTTTGTTTCATTCCCGTCACAATCAAACACATCAGCCCAGATTTCACCACTTCCCTCTCCAAACCAGTCTGATCCCACAACAGACACAGCAATCCCACAATTCAGCTGTCTACAGAGGACACTGGCAGCTCTCATATCCCAGCATGCATCACACACTGTGCCCCATTTACTGAGGAACCGAAGCTCCACTCTTCCAGAACAAGAGTCTGAACCGTTCATCAGTTTAGCATCAGTGTAACCTGAATAAAGAACATAGAGGTTAAAATAAAGTATAAAGCAGCTGCCAGAGAACATGTTTTAAGTACAAACAAATAGACACTAAATATTATATTTTACCAGAACAGATCAGACCCACATTAGAGTCACTGGTACAGCTTTGTTTGTGTGATAATGAAATTGAGCAAATTGAGATCTGAGACTCATTTCCTCTGCACTGAATCTCTCGTGTCCACATCTGAACGTCTCCTTTTCCAAAAGCATCTTCTCCCAGCACCTGTACAGGAGCCCCACAGTCCAGCTCTCTACACACAACCTCTGCATCCTGCTGGTCAAAGGCAGCGTCACACACTGACACCCACGACTGATCATCAAATATCTCTAACCTTCCAGAGCAGAGGTGAGATCCATTAACGAGTCTGGAAGCTTGATGGCCTATTAATATTAAAGGAATGACAGTGCACAGTAGACAAAACAAATGCTTGATAGTTAAATGCAATACACATACAAACAGTTTTCCAAACATAATAATCTTTATGTAAAAACAAATGAATGGGCAATCAGTTCAATTATTCACCCGAACAGATGACACCGGCATCATAATTGTGAGTACAGGTATGTACGTTCCATCCTGCTGACCCACAGTTCTTCAGTGTTGACTCTGATCCAGTGCATGATACAACATCCATCCAGATTGGTCCTGATCCTGGTCCAAAATGAGCATCACCCAGAGCATCTACAGGTTCTCCACAGTCCAGCTCTCTACACACCACTGCAGCATCAGCCAAATCCCAGAAATCATCACACACTGTTCCCCACTGACCTCTATGAAGAACCTCCACTCTACCAGCACAGCGACTGTGACCACCAACCAACCGCACATTCATTGGATCTATGAGAGGGTAATAAATATGGAGATAGAAAAGAAATTATCAAACTTAAAATAATATAATAGACCAGCGTGTTGCTTTGTGACAGGTTCATATACAGTATATGTGTATCTTTTCAGTCTTTTAATTTAGCTCTTACCAGCACACACCAGTTCAACATTGTGCTCATGTGAACAGTTGTTTTCATATGATATTGATTTTGAACAGAAGTGAATCTGAGACTCATTTCCTCTGCACTGAATCTCTTGTGTCCACATCTGAGCGTCTCCTTTTCCAAAAGCATCTTCTCCCAGCACCTGTACAGGAGCCCCACAGTCCAGCTCTCTACACACAACCTCTGCATCCTGCTGGTCAAAGGCAGCGTCACACACTGACACCCACGACTGATCATCAAGTATCTCTAACCTCCCAGAGCAGCGAGAACCTCCAACCAGCCGGACTTCTGAATAAGACAACATAGATCAACAAAAGCATGGCTTATTTATGAGGCTTCAAGATAATGATGTATACATAAAAGCCATTTATATCTTATAATAAATACATAAAGTAAAAACACAAAAGAAAACCACAACAAATATAAATAACATTTATATTTTTATTGAAGTCAATGTTTTAAAACTAGAAGACAATCTGGAAGTGCATATTAATTTTAATCTGTAAAATACTTTACCTGAACAGATGACTCCAGTATCATTTATATGATCACAGTTGCTTTTACCCCATCCGGACGACCCACAGTTCTTCAGTGTTGACTCTGATCCAGTACACGCGACATAACTCATCCAGATTGGTCCTGATCCTGGTCCAAAATGAGCATCACCCAGAGCATCTACAGGTTCTCCACAGTCCAGCTCTCTACACACCACTGCAGCATCAGCCATATCCCAGAAATCATCACACACTGTTCCCCACTGACCTCTATGAAGAACCTCCACTCTACCAGCACAGCGACTGTGACCACCAACCAACCGCACATACACACGGTCTAAATATTAAGCAACAATGAGACATGAAAGATGAAGGAATGAGAGTTAAATTTATAACATTGCAAAAAATAGGACACATACATCTGAGTATTTAAAATTAATATTCAGAGTTCAATACAAGTTTAGCTCAATAAACATCATAGTTGATTAACAAACAAATTATTATGCTGACTCCCTCCTTTTATTATTAAAAAAAATGTGGGTTTAAAGACAGAAATGTGAAGCTTATAATTGTATAAAAAGCACTTAAATCATTTTTTTTTATTTATCTATTACAATTAACAATTTAAACTGTATCATTTTAATTATCCTAAAATGCATTATTGTTTCAGCTGTAAATTGTTAAAAACAATTACAGGCTTTATTTTTATCATTATGTTGTCATTGAAACAAAATTTAAAACTGGAAATGACTTTGCACAGAAAAGGATAGTAAGCAATTGTTTCCACACTATGTTTCTGTATTCTATATTTTCTTTCTATATTATTCAAAACAGTATTTTAAAGTTGACAGAAAACCCAGACAAGAAGAAATTTATTTTTTGTAAATAATTATGTTGATTGAGCTTAAACTATATTAAACCTTGTGTATTATTTTAATATATTTGTTCCCTCTATAGTTCTTCTGTAGCTGAGGTCTTGGCATTGTTTAAGAGGCTAACATTGCAACCCTATAAAAGGCCTTTAGGGTTTTTCTTTTTTGTCTTTTTTGTCATGATCAAAACTTCTTGACATAATATAATACTGCATTTATCCTGCTTGATTATGAATGAGTTCATTACGAATGATTTCTTTTTTAATAAAAATGTTCATTGGACTTTCTCCAGCTAGCATGTCTGTCACTATTATTTCCAAATCAATTTTTATCAAATCAGAACTCAATTTTACAGCCATGCCCAACTCGAGGGACAGCATTCCTGCATAGTTATAGAATAATGTTTGACACATGGTGATTAAGTCGTTTAAGTCGTATCAGAGAAAAGGTGATCATTTACAATGTTGATATCACATATTTTTTTTATTGTGATCACAAGACAAGACAAAAAAAACTACAATAATGGCCTCTTAGGGTTTCAATAAATTAATATTAATATGATGACAGTATATTAAATTGAATAAAAACAAGACACTAATGTAAAACTTATTCATAGCTATTTATAAATGGGAGAGACAAAGAAAAAAATACATGTACAGTACATAACAGTACAGTTTAATTTTAAGATCTTAAATTAAGTAGCCATTCGTTTCTAAAAAAAATAAAAATAAATAAATAAATAAAAATCTTCAATTTCACATCTACTTACCAGCTGTGATGAATATTATAATTGAATACAGTAAAACAAGAGTCAGGCATCTCTCCATCTCTCTCTGCTTGATTAATTCAACATCCAGTACAAACTTCTCCGCACCGATGATACAGAAGTACAGGCGTCCTCTCAGCCCCCTATATTAGAGAGAAAGAGGTTCAAAACCCTCCAATCACACTCGCTGTTACCTTATTAGACAAAACAGAGGAAATCATCAAACAACTTCAGTGACAAATCAGACCAGGCTTTTATGATCTTCACCATATATAAATATGTATAAAACTGTCAGTGCTGATGAACTCCTCCTCCCCTCCCATCAAGACTGAGGAGATGCAGAAACACACACACACACACACACACACACACACACACACACACACACACACACACACGTATTTCACTGACTTACAGGAGACAGGAAACTCTCCAGTTTATTTACAGCATCAAAGCCCAACACCTGCAGAGAACAGATAAAAGCACTGATAAATAACTCTATTCATGTTAGCATGATATTAACACGTAATAAACTCAACTATTTAGATTAAATATTGTCAAATGGCATTATTTTTTAGCTGAAAAGAGGCAGAAAAGACATTCTCCTTAAATGTATTTCATTACTTTCTTAACATAATTCTCATATTGCACCAAAGTGTTTCAAATGGCCCCATACACACAAACCATTATTGTCATCTTATGTCCAGCAGTCAGAGAGAGTCTGTGTGCTTCATTTCTGCTAAAGCGCCGTTGTATAGAGTGAAGGGAAGATACATTTTTGTTGGCCAAAACTCAAGTCATTTTAACTTTTAATCATTTAAACCTACTAGTCTCTATTTTCATGCTTCTAGTATTTATTTTCAAAAACTATAAAGTACTAGTACTTACTCATTATAGCTACTAGCTTATTCTTTAGGGACTAGTGCCTATTCTTTAGAAACTAGTTATTCTTTAGGTAATGGTATGGCAAGCTGTTTTAACATTTAATCATTTAAACTGACTTGTATCTATTTTCATTCTACTACTTATTTTAGATACTAGTATATTCCATAAAGGACTACTTAGCTACTAGCGCTTATTCTTTATGTACTAATATCTTTTTAAAGTTACGAATACCAATTCATTATAGTCCTTATTTGTTATAGTGCTTATTCATTACTTACTAGAGACTAGTATTTTGTTACCAACAAATATATTTTTTTGCCATTGACTTCTATTTGGGGATCTGTCATTTAGATATCAATTCAGTTCTTACTATAGTATGTATTCCAATTGTGACTAGTACATATTAGATACCAATTATTCGTCATTAGGTACTTATTTTTTAGATACTAGTACCTTTTACTATATACATAGTATTTATTACATTAATAGTACTTATTAGATACTAGTACCTATTAAATAGTACTTATTCATTAGATATTAGTACTCAATAAAGTACCTATTTATTAGATAGTAACTAAGAAAAAAGTACTGGTACCAATTTAATAGGCACTCGAATCTAATGAATAAGTGTCTTTTTGGGTAGTATCTAATAAATAAGAACTAGTATCTAAAAAGTTTAGTATCTAAAAAGTCTCCAAAATATTTAAAATACAAACCAGCATGAATGGTTTCAAGTTATCCACCTTTTTCTGCGCCCATGATTCCCATGATTCATAGCGGATTCAACTGACTTGACGGTTTTCTACTTCCTGCTGTCCTTTTTTCACTAATTGTATCTTAATTTCAATTAATGTTTCATCAACCAATCGTCTGGTTTTAATAAATAAGAATTATATAGTAAACAATAGATGATCATGACGGAGGCGACAGCGCGCAAACTGGACTTTGGTCTCATAAATGAAACTCGGCATAACGTTATTATGCCTAATAACCTCACAGGCCTGAGAAATATATAGACTATGCATCTTTGAAAGCAGATGTAGACAGGAGTCAAAGGGCTAACCAGCCTAACCTTATAGTATTCTGCAGCAGTCGGGGTGATAGAAACTGTCGGATGTTTGCTCTATATGGGGAGGCTGCAGACCTGGAGCCGGATTAGGGAGATTGTGCAGACATGCATCAGCTATCCTCAAAGAAAAACGTTCATTTTGTTTTAATCTGTGATTTTATAAAAAAAAATAACGTGATCAGATCACATTTGATGAATCTTTTTTTCGATTTAGTTTAGCGATGTGGGGATGACACAATCTAAAACAAATGGCAAAAATGCCTAGACTAGACTGGAACCGGAAGTTGACTACCGGCATCGTCGTCATGGCGGCGCCCATTGTTTAGAGCAGAAAAATGTGGATATTTTGTATTCTGCATACATTTTGAAGTTTATTTTTGTTTTTTTCTGTTTAATTTAGTGTTAACAGACAACAGTCATGATAACATAAATCACAATAGAGATTAATTAAATATAGAAGTCAACCATATTAAAATACAACCACATTAAACACAGACAACAGAATAATTAAGATAATGAATCAGATATTCTTAAATTCATATTTTGAGAGCATGATCTCTGAAATAATAAGAAAGATTGTTTTTCTCTTCAGAAATGCTGTTTGCTTAAATATTCAGTACACACAATTTGTAATATGTAGGAATCTTTCTGGATGAGTTATACTTATTGTACAATGTAATGCAATTGATTTCTTATTAGGACTGTTGTTTTCTATTGGTTTAAATGTACAACAACAACACAGACACTGAATAACATTCATGCAAACCATCATATTTCAGGTTATTTATGAATGTTTTCTAACATACGGTATATTAAAAAAAATGTTCAGATATATTCAAATGTTCTAACATACAGACAAAAACTGCAAGACATTGTAACTGTCATGTTTTTTTCACTGGAAGATTCTCCTACATCTCAATTATTTGACAGGAACAAAAAGAGGAAATAAATGTTTAAATGTCAAAAGATTTAACCGTGACCCCGATTTATAACCCTGAAATGTGGCAATCATGGCAATAAACAATGCATACAATGATCAAAGGGAACTCTAAAAATAACGTTTCAAAATTTATTTAAAATGTTTAGTTAAATAATAAACAAAAGAACTCCAGAAGCTGTAATGAACAGTGGCAGTGTGTGTGTGTGTGTGTGTGTGTGTGTGTGTGTGTGTGTGTGTGTGTGTGTGTGTGTGTGTGTGTGTGTGTGTGTGTGTGTGTGTTTGTGTGGCCATCGAGTCAAACTGCTTCTCTCTCATCGTTTGACCCCTCCTCCACATCATCATAGTCTGCATTAAAGAAAACGCAAAGTAAAATCTTAAACATGAAAGATATTACAATACATTTAATAAGTGTAGGAATCATAAGACATAAAGCTTACCCTTACCTAACAAGTTTCTCAAATCTTCAGTGATACTCCACACATCATCATACTCATCCTGATCTCCCTCTTTACACATAAAAAACACAGGTTGCATTATTTTATTATTGTTTTATAATTATAATAAAAAACATACAGGTTGTGACATTGATGTCTTTGAGCTTGGCCTTCATGACTTTCTGTGAATATATTTACACCTGATGGTTCAATAATTGGTAGAAACACATATACCCAATCTTGAAGATCATAGAGTAAAAAATGAAGATTATAAATGAAGTTGTGTGACTCACCCGTTACACATTGAGGGCACTGTCCATTAATGATGACATCATCATAATCCTCTGGTGTGTCCACTACACACACACACACACACACATTATTATTATTATTATTATTTTAAACTCTCAATATTAACTACTATATATGTATATATATATATATATATATATATATATACACACACACACACACACACGCACACACACAGTATAGACTATACACACACACACACACACACAAATAGAGATTTATAATTTAAATTGTATATATAACTAACTATTAATAAACAGTAATTGAGATTATTGAGGCATATTATTTGAATTTTATTAATAGTTAATAGTGATTTTATATGTATAGCTGGTGGGAATTTATAGAGAAAATAGTTAATAGTGGGAATTTTATATATTACCATAGGTCTGTCCACTGGGAATGACATCATCATAGCCCTCTGGTGTGTCATCTACAAGTTTAACATTAAATCAATTCCATCAAGTTCAAAATAAACTTGAATGTATATATTAATATGTACAGTGTATAATAACAGAGAGAACTACAACTAGAGTAGCCTACAGAAGAAAACCAGCACCTGTCTCACAAACTGGTTTTGGAACATGAATGATGATTTCCTCATAGTATCCGGATGTGTTTGCATTCACCCTGTCTTCAACATTAAAACAAAATATGAATATAAAAAAAATAAAGATATTTACAGAATTAAAAATGCTTTATGATTTCAATCATCTGGTAATGAAATGATCAGTTTACAAAGCCTGCGTCATGTTATGCCATTGCTACTCAAAACATCAGAGTCTATTATCTTCAGTAGGGCTAAGCATTGTATATTGGGGTGCACACTTACAGGCCAAACAATTCCTGGAATTTGTGAATTTGACTATGATTTTTTATTTATTTATTCATTCAATTTTTTTTACAGTTTGTAAACCACTTCTAACCTGAGAGAAGTGAATCAACATCTTCATACCCAAAATTCAGTTCTTCAGATACAAGACTCCCTCCTGTCAAAGAACAGCAGAACAGAAACAGACTGAATCAAATCTTAAATCCTTTGGGTCATAACGCTCTGCTAGTGAGAGCAAGAAAGTACGATAAATTATATTTTTGGGTGGGGATGGTCATCTTTTTTTTTATCTTTTATTATCTCAATAATTTTAACATTCACCTGCAATTTTGTTGTTGTTGTTTTGTGGATTGATACATAATTAAAACTAATTAGTTAGATGTGAATGATATAATCATATTTAATTCTACAATGGATCCGACTGGTATCACTGATATAGAATGTGCACAAGAGGCAACAGTTACAATAGAAAGATGAGAAGTGAACAATTTTTAGGGACCCTTTGATCAGAATTCAACAGTTAAAGTTTTGAACAATCTCTGATAATGCCTCACCTGTATGAGTGACTTGATTGTGTCTGTGATAAATTTCCTCATAAACTACCTCACTTGGAGCCCTGTGTAGTCCTGTGTACCAGTCAGAGAGAGCTGTGTGTGTAGACAGACAAACCTGCTGTCAGTTCACAACACATGACTGATCACACACTGAATAAGACACACTATGACAGTCTCTGGATCTCTCCTACCTCTCCTCATCACTCTGTTCTGCTGAACCAGTATAAGCAGTGGCACTAAGAGCAGTACGAGCAAAACTCCCAGTACAACCACAAGCACAGAGAGAGACGCTGCTGGAGGAGTTTGTGGAGGAGTGACTGATGTTGAGCGCACTGTCTGAGAAACTGGACGAGAAGATGATGTTGTTGTGGCAGGAGTAGTGGACACTGACAAATCTGACAAAACACACACAAACACATTCAAAATCATGAAAATACACAAAGATTATTAGTGTTTAAATGATGACTCCTATTGTTCAGTGTGTTGCTGTGACCTGCACATGTGAGTCCAGCGTGATCTTTGTGGGAACAGTCAGTGTGGTTCTTCAGGGAGTGAGGACAGTCCCACAGGTGAATCTCATTCCCTCTGCACTCGACTCTGTTCATCCACACAACACCTTCACCAGCACCAAAGACTGAATTCCCATCAGCCCTCAGTGCGTCTCCACAACCCAGCTGCCTGCAGACCACCTGAGCATCGCTGATGTCCCACAGATCAGCACAGACTGAACCCCACACAGCGTTATGATACACCTCCAGCCTCCCAGAGCACCGGCCCAAACCTCCACTCAGTCTGAGAGGAACATGATCTAAAACACACACAGCAAAGACATAGATACATTATAATATATAAAAATAGCACAGTACTGTCCGAACAGCAACACCTACAGTGGGGAATGTCTGTGAAGTGAGATTAAATCCATTTTTTTAATGGTTTTTGTGTTCTTCTACATCAAATTAAATACCTGAACATTGTCTCTGATGTGGAGATGTGGAGCATGACAAGTAGCTTCTAGGGGACTCGTGACTTTCCTGTTCTATAAATCACAAGTTAATAAATAATTTTGTTCATTCACTCAATAATGTTAATGGATTATTGTTATATTTTTAGAGATGTTTGAAACAGTCTTACCTGAGCAGGTGATTTTGGCCACTTCATCTTTACTACAGTAGTTCTGTCCCCAGGGTAAAGATGGACACTGCCATAGATTTGAATCATGTGGTCGACATTTCACTTTATCCAGCCAGTTACGAGCTGAATCCAGCCTTGGTATAGAATTAAAAAAAGCACCAGATCTTCCACAGTTCAGCTCTTGACAGATCAGACTCGCTGTGTCTCTGTCCATCTGGTTCCAGCACACATTACCCCAGGATCCATTGTAGAAAACCTCCACATTCCCTTCACAGCCCTCAGTTAACCTGATCTCTTTAAACTCTAGATGGAAAATGTTAAATTCAATTCATTTATTTTTAGTTTTGTAAATTAACAAAATACTATTTGATTCCAAATACTACATTAATATTACTCTATTGTTATATATTGAAAGCAGCAGCTGCTGGTCAATTATTTGCAATAATTCCTAAAATGTGTTTAACTTCACCTGAACACACGACTCCTACATCCTCCTTGTGTTGACAGTCATGTTTCCCCCAGCCTGGAGAAGAGCAGTTCCACAGGGACGTCTCATTCCCCTCACACTCCACCTCATCCAGCCATATGTGTCCAGAACCAGGACCAAACCAGGCTGGTACCTGCTGGTTACTGAGGGCCACTCCACACTGCAGCTGTCTGCACACCACATGGGCATCTTTAATATCCCAGGAGTCATCACACACTGTCCCCCATGAGCCGCTGTGAAAAACCTCCAGCCTCCCTGCACAGTCTCCCCCAGAACCCACCAGCCTGATGGACCCCCGGCCTGATATTCAGAGAGAGAAAAACACATTATTGATCACCAACAACTGAAGAATCTGCCCAGATGTTGTTGTGCTCACCAAGGCAGGAGATTGACAGCTGTTGTGTGGAGCTGCAGTTGAGAGTTTGTAGAGAGCTGCTGCAGTTCCCCAGATGAGCTTCACTCCCAGAGCACTGGAAGCCCGTCACACACTCATGACTGTGTTCAGGACTGGATGAAGAGGAGCCGGAGAAGTTCAGCACAGAGCCACAGCCCAGCTGTCTGCAGACCACAGAGGATTCAGTGAGACTCCAGGAGTCCAGCAGAACTCTCCTCCAGACCTGATGGATGGAAACTTCCAGCTCCCCCTCACACTGTCTCTCTCCAGACAACTGCACCAGACCGTCATGAACAGACAGAGAGGAATCTGAGGGAAAGATGTGGCATTTTATTAAGATATTGCAAGATTCATATAGGTAATTTATAACTTTCTCCAATAAAATTCCCTCACTAGAGCAAATGACTCCAACATCTCGTCCATGAGAACATTCAGCTCGACTCCATGAAGAGACGGCACATTCTGAGAGTTTTGTTTCATTCCCGTCACAATCAAACACATCAGCCCAGATTTCACCACTTCCCTCTCCAAACCAGTCTGATCCCACAACAGACACAGCAATCCCACAATTCAGCTGTCTACAGAGGACACTGGCAGCTCTCATATCCCAGCATGCATCACACACTGTGCCCCATTTACTGAAGTACTGACGTTCAACTCGACCAGAACAGATGTCAGGACCATTGACCAGTCTGAGGTCAGTGTAACCTATATAAAGTACACAGTTTACTTAAACAGTATGAAAAATTAAAAGTAAATGTTTTTAAAAATTGTTTATGATTATCTCAATAAGTTGAAAACTACAGTTCCATTACCAGAACATAACAGTCCAATATCTTTCTTATGAGTACAGTAGTGTTTGAGAGAAAATGCTGTTGGACAGAAAGATATATGAGACTCATTTCCTCTGCACTGAATCTCTTGTGTCCACATCTGAGCGTCTCCTTTTCCAAAAGCATCTTCTCCCAGCACCTGTACAGGAGCCCCACAGTCCAGCTCTCTACACACAACCTCTGCATCCTGCTGGTCAAAGGCAGCGTCACACACTGAATTCCAGGTGTTTCCATGAACCAGCTCTAATCTCCCAGAGCACAAATGAGGTCCATTGGTAAGTCTGGGATGTTTATGATCTGTTTTTAGAACATTCAAAATGGTACAAAACAGAGAAAACAGTTATTCAGAGTGGCAAGCTTGATAGAGTGTATTGCATTTAGCAGTTGCAGTACCTAAATAACAATAATCATATGACAATTACATCACATCAGATTAGTTGTTCTGTCAAGAGTGTGTTGTGTAATTTATGTTTATCACAATATTAAAGTACACAATTTCATTCACCTGAGCAGATGACTCCAGCATCACCATGATGACCACAGATATGTTTACCCCATCCAGCTGATTCACAGTTTTTTAGTGAAGACTCATTTCCAAAACAACATAAAACACTCATCCAGATTGGTCCTGATCCTGGTCCAAAATGAGCACCACCCAGAGCATCTACAGGTTCTCCACAGTCCAGCTCTCTACACACCACTGCAGCATCAGCCAAATCCCAGAAATCATCACACACTGTTCCCCACTGACCTCTATGAAGAACCTCCACTCTACCAGCACAGCGACTGTGACCACCAACCAACCGCACATTCATTGGATCTATGAGAGGGTAATAAATATGGAGATAGAAAAGAAATTATCAAACTTAAAATAATATAATAGACCAGCGTGTTGCTTTGTGACAGGTTCATATACAGTATATGTGTATCTTTTCAGTCTTTTAATTTAGCTCTTACCAGCACACACCAGTTCAACGTTGTGTTCATGTGAACAGTTGTTTTCATATGATATTGATTTTGAACAGAAGTGAATCTGAGACTCATTTCCTCTGCACTGAATCTCTTGTGTCCACATCTGAGCGTCTCCTTTTCCAAAAGCATCTTCTCCCAGCACCTGTACAGGAGCCCCACAGTCCAGCTCTCTACACACAACCTCTGCATCCTGCTGGTCAAAGGCAGCGTCACACACTGACACCCACGACTGATCATCGAGTATCTCTAACCTCCCAGAGCAGCGAGAACCTCCAACCAGCCGGACTTCTAAAAAAGCAATAAAACAGACAAGTTTTCAGAAAAAAAAAAAAAAAATCAATAACAAATTATTTATTTAAAAAGAATACTGGTCTGTAAGTATATAATTTACATATTTACAGTATGATATAGAATAAAATGTGGTTTGGAGCAGTTTACAGTACCTGAACAGATGACTCCAGCATCTTCAGTATGATCACAGTTGCTTTTACCCCATCCTGACGACCTACAGTTCTTCAGTGTTGACTCTGATCCAGTGCATAATACAATATCCATCCAGATTGGTCCTGATCCTGGTCCAAAATGAGCATCACCCAGAGCATCTACAGGTTCTCCACAGTCCAGCTCTCTACACACCACTGCAGCATCAGCCATATCCCAGTCATCTCCACACACTGTTCCCCACTGACCTCTATGAAGAACCTCCACTCTACCAGCACAGCGACTGTGACCACCAACCAACCGCACATTCAAACGGTCTAAATATTAAATAAAGAAGTGAACAGATGGAGAGATAATAATGAAGAGTCAGAAAAAGAGAGTTAAAAGAAGCACAGAATGAGAGAGAGGAAAAAAAATATTTTATAAAGAGCATCAAAAGATTTGACATAGATTTTATAAAATTAAAAGACATCCACTCTGACCTGCACACACCAGTCCAACATCATTGTCATGAGGACATTTCTGCGATAGTGATGTCGGGCAGAGGTGAATCTGAGACTCATTTCCTCTGCACTGAATCTCTTGTGTCCACATCTGAGCGTCTCCTTTTCCAAAAGCATCATCTTCTCCCAGCACCTGTACAGGAGCCCCACAGTCCAGCTCTCTACACACAACCTCTGCATCCTGCTGGTCAAAGGCAGCGTCACACACTGACACCCACGACTGATCATCAAGGATCTCTAACCTCCCAGAGCAGCGAGAACCTCCAACCAGCCAGACTCCTGTAACAACAATGGTTCAATGTTTATTATATATATAATATAATATTTATATACATATAGTACATGTATATATATATATATACATATTAAAAAAAAATATATATATATATATATTTTTGTGTGTGTGTGTGTGTGTTTATATATATATATATATATACATATATAATTTTTTGTGGTATATATATATATATATATATATATATATATATATATATATATATATATATATATATATATATCAGCACAGCGACTCTGACCACCAACCAAAGTATGTATCAAATTATTCAACAACCCCATTGCAAATCAGACTAATTGGCAAAATTGACAGACTTTCATTTGAAATGAGCAAACAAAAGTAATTGAAATAGCTCAACACAACAAATGTTTCAAGTTGTTTCCCCAAATTACACTGAAAATTCAACTTTTAATCACTGCAGTTTAAAATGTATCTAAGTACGCCCTTTTGCTGTAATGAATTCAGCTGTTGCTGAATGTGTGTGTGCATGGGTTTATTTTGTGTTATATATTAGTTTTATGTGTTTGAAATATCAATAAAGTCTCATTTGTATTTAAAGAGAAGTATCCTTGTGCTATGTCCTTACAAATTTAACCTCTTAAACTGATGATAATTACATTGGTAATAAATAGTTTTATCACTATAGTTTGGATATAAATATCTGCTGCAAAGCTCATTGTTACTATGATCACTCAGGGATGTTTTACACATTAAACTTGTGGCCACAAGAAAATAAAAAAAATAGTTTCCTCAACAATAGTATAGAAAATACTCTACATTTTGGTGAAATGAGAACACTTTTAGTTATGTTATTAAGGTGAGGTACTGTACAAAGAAAGCAGTTTACCTGAACAGATGACTCCAGCATCTTCAGTATGATCACAGTTGCTTTTACCCCATCCTAACGACCCACAGTTCTTCAGTGTTGACTCTGATCCAGTACACGAGACATAACTCATCCAGATTGGTCCTGATCCTGGTCCAAAATGAGCATCACCCAGAGCATCTACAGGTTCTCCACAGTCCAGCTCTCTACACACCACTGCAGCATCAGCCATATCCCAGTCATCTCCACAAACTGTTCCCCACTGACCTCTATGAAGAACCTCCACTCTACCAGCACAGCGACTGTGACCACCAACCAACCGCACATTCAGACTGACTGTATATTAAATAAAGAAGTGAACAGATGGAGAGATAATATGAAGAGTTAGAAAAGGAGAGTTAAAAGAAGCACACAAAGAGAGAGAAAAAAATATTTTATAAAGAGTATCAAAAGATTTGACATAGGTTTTATAAAAGTAAAAGAAATCCACTCTGACCTGAACACACCAGTCCAACATCATTTTCATGTGAACAGTTGTGTTTGTGTGATGGTGATTTTGAACAGAAGTGAATCTGTGACTCATTTCCTCTGCACTGAATCTCTTGTGTCCACATCTGAGCGTCTCCTTTGCCAAAAGCATCTTCTCCCAGCACCTGTACAGGAGCCCCACAGTCCAGCTCTCTACACACAACCTCTGCATCCTGCTGGTCAAAGGCAGCGTCACACACTGACACCCACGACTGATCATCAAGGATCTCTAACCTCCCAGAGCAGCGAGAACCTCCAACCAGCCGGACTTCTAAAGAAATCCAGATCATTTAAATGATTTTTGGGAAGAAAAAAAAAACCCTAGTACACATGCATATAAATATTTTATAGATTCCTATATCATATTGTAATACGCAAGAGAGTATATAATGTATATGAGACAACAACAAAAACAACTAAAACCTAACATTTTAAAAATTGAACAAGATTGAGGGAAAAAAAGTTAAATAAACATGTAATATATAGGTTTTTGCATATTTAGTTATTAGCATAAGTAAGATACAGAGAAACAAGAAAATTTGTGTTTAAACAGTTGTAATTTGAGGACAGTGAGATTTAGTTTGAAACAAAAAATGTATTGAGCAAGATGCATTAACTTGTCCAGAATGGCAGTAGTCATTTAGAATGTTGCAAAAAATTTGTTATGAATAAATACTTTAAACTCCTTCAAAAAAACGCATCCACAATTCATTAAGCAGCACAACCATTTTCAACTTTCAACTGAAATTCCTCATGAGCACCAGGAGGTTCATGTGACACTGAAGACAGAGTAATGTCTGCTAGAAAATTCAATTTTAAAATATGTTAAAATAGAAAGCAGTAATTTTAAACTGTAAAAAAAAATGATTAAATAATTCAATAAATAAATAAATTAATTAATTAATAGTAGTAAATTTTTAGCGATGTAATATTATGGTGCAGTTTACCTGAACAGATGACTCCAGCATCATTATTATGATCACAGTTGCTTTTACCCCATCCTGACAACCCACAGTTCTTCAGTGTAGACTCTGATCCAGTACACGAGACATAACTCATCCAGACTGGTCCTGAACCTGGTCCAAAATGAGCATCACCCAGAGCATCTACAGGTTCTCCACAGTCCAGCTCTCTACACACCACTGCAGCATCAGTCATATCCCAGAAATCATCACACACTGTTCCCCACTGACCTCTATGAAGAACCTCCACTCTACCAGCACAGCGACTGTGACCACCAACCAGCCGCACATTCACACTTTTCTTTTGTGCAACAGAAAACTGACAGACTGGGAGTTGGAAAAAAGGAAAAAATAAGAAGTTAACAACAAATACACATAATTAATAATTGAGATAATTTCATCCTCAACTAAAAGTATAAACCTACTAGCGGTGATGAGTTTGATTAGAAACATCAGACTCCTCATCATCATCTTCTGCTGGACGCACACCATTTCATCAGCTAAGAGAACGTAGCAAAAGTCTGTTCCACAAACACACTGAAGAAACTGGGTACTGTCAGCCCCCTATAGAGGAGAGCCCTAAAACTTTCCAATCAGGTTCATCATTACCTTATTAGACACAACAGAGGAAATCATCAAACAACTTCAGCGACAAATCAGAGGCGGCTTTTCTGATTTCTACCATATATATCAAAAGCTCGTCAACTCCTCCTCCATATCGAGACACTTCAGTGAGGATACACACACACACACACACCTGCCAGAGGCAAAAATAGTCTCACATCATTTGGGAGACTTTGAAGATTTCAGAGAGAGGAAGCACCCCATGTTATATATACAGCATCAGAACCAAACACCTGCTGATACAGACACTGATATCTGCTCAATTCAAACATCATTATATGCAAAACATATATTTATGTTGAACACATTTTATAAATGTATATTTTACATTTACAGAATATAATTATGTATAAAAAACAAAACATCTTTGTCCCAAACTAAAACTAAATTCGCATCCTGTTACCCATTCTAAGACGTTTTTATTTAGTTTGATCAATTTGAATGTTCACGGTTAGAAAAACCCAGATATCAGTTGTAAATAAAAAGGTTTTATTGAGAATTTTACAGAGAATTTAGCAGACTTTAGGCAACAGGCATGTGCATTGTGGCAAAGCGTTACTCAACCACAAGATGGCAGAAAAACACTTGCTATTCTAAATACAGGCGGACATAATTCAGGGGAGCCCAATCCTGTTCCTGAAGAGCAACCTATCCATCCAACCCTGATTCAACACAACTCTGTAATTATCAAGTGTTCCTGAAGATGTTAATTAACTAGTTCAGTTGTGTTCACTCAAGGTTGGAGCTGAACTTTTCAGGAAGGTAGATCTCCAGGATTTGGCATCCTTGCTGTAATGTGTTACTCTTCCAATAGAGGTCAGTGAAATATTCATGAAATGAGCTGATAAACGTCTTGTCAGGAGAGCGTCTCAATGTTGAAAGCTTACTGGAACAGAAAATGTTCAGTTCTTTCTTAGAATAAAAATCCTGAATGATTATTCGGTCAAACTGATATTTTATTGTGGTAAAATGTTTCGGTAAAAAGTCTGGTGCAACATAATAGATTCAGCGCGGGGTGTTGAGAGATTTTAAGTTCTATTAACAACCATTCCAAGAGACAAATCTCTGATTTATCAACAATAAATTAACAAGAGACATTTTAAATATCTGCATAATGACAATATATGACACTTCAGAGTTACCGGTGACATGTTTAGCCTTAAAGACAGTTCATCCTGGTCACTGCTCGCAGAAGAATACAATCCAGTTTGTTGCAAACACCACCTCTCCTGTGTGTGTGAGAAGAAGAATTCAGAGACTATTACACTCTTTGAAGTGCACTTTACTGTTCTCTTACAGTAAACTTCACAGAGGCTCCATCTTCATTCCCAACCTCTAGACCAGTTCAAGTTTTAACCAACATCTGTCCACAGTAAGGGAGGAATATTCAGAGAAATCCATCTCAAATAAGATCAGACATCCACAGATGAAATATCTGCAGAGTTACAGCAGCAGATCATGTTCCTGCGGCTCGTAGACCCTGTTTCTGCATGACATTCCAGAGTTTGTGGAGGTTGGACTGAGTGATGAGGTCGTCTGGTTTGAGCTGCAGCGCACGGAGGTAGTTGCTCTCAGCTTCCTTCAGCTTCCCATTGAGATGGAGGATGGCCCCGAGATTCATCAGAGCTGCTGGATGCTGAAAAGCACACATAAAAAGAGAGAATCATAGATGGATTATAAAATGTGGTTCTAGAATTAGGTAAGAAAAAAAAACATATATAATATAATGGAAGACTTCAGCAAAGTTACAACGCATAAAAATATCTTAAACATCTAACAAAACGTCTGAAGAAGGTACTTACATCAGGTCTTAAATCAGCTGCCTTCACATAATAGCGTTCAGCTGCCTCATTCAGACTGGCCTGCCTGTGGACAGACACACACAATACTAGAACCTGTAAGTTACTATGAAAATGATTATGCATACATAATAATTATAAATGTTGATGCATAATGAGTGTTGGCCCAGGCTAATAGCTTTCTTCATACAAGTGCGACTTTAATTTGTCTAATAATACTCTGCTGCCTCTTACATCAACACAAGTTAAAAATAATGAATTAGCTAAGCTGTTCTGTAAGTAAAATCAATAAGTCCATGTATTTATTTGGCAAGCAGCTGTGGAATAAGCAGAATAATGTAAAGTCAGCTAGTCATTATCGCAAAATATTCCCTCGTTTCATTGAAGGTGATGAAACAGGCCGAGTCCACCTACACACACACACACACACACCTGAGCATATGAGCAGCGCTGAACACAACATCAAACTCAGAACTGTCCAGCTCTGCAGCTTTCTGAGCCATTACTGCTGCCTCTCCTAGACGAGACTCTTCACACAGAAACTGACCTGAGAGAGAGAGAGAGAGAGAGAGAGAGAGAGAGAGAGAGAGAGAGAGAGAGAGAGAGAGAGAGAGAGAGAGAGAGAGAGAGAGAGAGAGAGAGAGAGAGAGAGAGAGAGAGAGAGAGAGAGATCACAAGATGGAAATCAACTCAAACACAGCAGTCGAAGATCAGATATGCGGGAAGCAGGACATGAAGCACAATGAACCTCTGCTGCTTCAGGACATAAGTTTACTGATTCATTTCAGTGATAAGAAAGAACACGGTTTTGCAAGAGTTGAGACAGGGCTGTTTACTTACTTAAATATGAAGCATATGGATTTATTGTGAGAATTAAATCTTTTTAATATTTTATATATATATATAATTGAACAAAATATATATATATAAATATATATGAAGAGTTCAGATGCAAAAGCCTCTAAATGCCATTTGAAATTTTCTTCTTTAATGATGATTTTTATCAAACTTGTATATTTAAGTTCAGTAATTTCACTTAAATAACAATTAATAGGTAATTATCATTGCCATTTAAGTGAAATCACTGAACTTAAATATACAAGCTTGATAAAAATTATCATTCTAGAAGAAAATTTCAAATGGCACTTAGAGGCTTTTGCATCTGAACTCTTCATATATATATATATATATATATATATACACACAGTATATATTTATATTTTGATAAATTAATTATTATTAACAAAGGTAATAATATATTTATTAACAAATTAATTATTATTACATTTAAGGAATAAATAAAAGGCCATTAAGGAAGACTCTATCAAATAAAATTTCAAGTAATTTGTGCATTGATCAATAACATTAGATCATTAGACATTAGGAATTGAATCCGATCCTACCGTAATGCATATAGCAGTTCCCTCTAGTAGGATCCAGCTCTATTGCCTTTAGGAAATAACTCTCTGCTTCAGACTTCTGTCCCTGTGGAGACATTAAGAAATAATTACAACTACACCCACCGTTGCAATTAAAGTGACATAGGCTTAACCGGATCTTTTAAATTTGTGCTATATATGATGTTAGATGCTATCAAAGTGTGGGAAAGTACACTTGTGCGAATGTTTGATGTGCAATTGTCTCACTTTCTTTACAGTTCAGTGCTGATTGCTTCCATGTTGGTGTTACCTTTGCAAACGTTCTTGTCATAAGCAGCGAGGTTATATTAGGCTTGCTTCACTGAACAGTTTTGTGGCAAACACTTCAGATAAGATGATAAAGAAATACCTTGGAAAGCCGTAGCATTTCATGCTCTCATTGGCTGCGGTTCCTGAAAATCATTTAACTACGTCCAAGAGCGTTTATCAAATGTATAGGCCTATAACACTTGAAGTCAGGGTTTCAAAAAAACACTAAATACCTGCAGATTTGAGTCCAAAAAGGGTAAATACAAAAAAAAGCTATTGTTTTAGCCGCAGACCTTGATTTAATCTGTTGACTAAAGCATTAAATTAGCTTTGCAACTTTTTCGATGTAAAACAAACCTTAGAAACTTCAAGTTCAAAAACAGACTGCTAAACGTAAAAGAAAACAGCAGTAAATGTCCTGAATATTACATCTGACAAAAAAAAAAAAAAAAAAAATCAGACAAAAAATGGTCTTGTGAGGTACATCATGACAACTTCAGTCATTTTGTCTGATGCTGTTCAGACAATACACTGCAGTTCCTCAACAGGTGGTCAAAAGTTCACCAATTTTCATTGTTTTCAAGAAGGAAAAAGTAATTCAATTAAGCACGGTGCTTGAGGGGTAATAACCGGTTTTAATCTGTGTGTATTAAGTGGACAGGCCTTGTGTGGTTTGGGTGAAAGAGAGCAAACAGGTTCGAGGCAACAGTCTGGACTCTTGACCAGCCGTGCCGAGACACAAACCCAAATCAGATTAGGAGGAGGATATGAGATATCACGTCCTGGGAGGGATGCAGCTGCTTGACCTTTCTTCATCACCCCTTCTCCATTTACATGGTGGTCAGAGAGGAAAATATCACGGGGAGAAAGGGTTTTTTCTTATGCAGGCAGAGGTGGGGTAGTGAGAGGGGTGGAATAAAAATGTGAAAAACTGAAAAGACATGTTTCATTATTAACAAAATGGTGGTGCCGTTGATGTCAGAGATGTTTTTGTGTCAATGTTCCTCTCAAGGACGAAGCAATTATTTCTTTCCTCAGTACTAAGAGTCTCATGAAGGGTCATGTGTGGCAAATTATTTTGATAACCAGATCTCTTTGTATACTTACTTCTTTCCACTCCATCTCCCCATTTGTAGATTGAAAACAAACTAAATGGATTTCATATTTAATTATGCTTTCATAAATCCATTTAGCTCCAGGTTTTTATATTCATACTGAAAATTTAATAGCAACCACAGTGTGACAAAAATATAGCAACACAAGTCTGAGACCACTAGTGAAAAAGCTTATATTTAACCTATTCTATTCAATAATATATTATTATTTAGGTAAAATAGAAGCATTGTCACTAGTGGTATTATATTAGTATTAGCAGTAGTAT